ACGGCCTTCGGCGAACAGAGAAACGAACCTGGACATCCCGTGTCATACTCACGCTATGAATAGTGAGAATGGGAAGATGCGTCTTTTCGTATCGTTTCGTAATGCACATTCAGCCAGTCCGGCCGGAACTCTGCAGCGTGCGCCACACGACATACAAGACGTATGCGAACATCTGGAAGATAGCGCGATAGGCTTAGATCAGGGGAGTGGTACAGTCCGCAGAGAGGTTACTTACCCTAAACGAGATGGAGCACATCTCCAGCATCTTCACCGATGTTGACCTGCGCCCGAGACTATCCAGGTAGAACTCACCGGGAAGTCTGAGCGCCCTCGGATGGTCTCTGAGTCTCCAAGTTGTCGGATAGATATGGAATCCTCAGCCCGATGCATCTATTCGTTTGCGTTCACTGAGCGCAAGATCTTCGAAGGCCTCACCGCAAGCGCGGCCACCCGAAACTCCCGCGGGTGCTGGATGGAACATGATGGCATGGAAGCATGGCCTGATCGTGAACACAGGCCGACACAGGCTAGACTTCGATTCTGGACGCGATGATGTGAGTGAAGCGCGAGCAGAGGGGCGTAGATGCGGCCGAGGGAGGAGGAGGCTGTTCGAACCTTCTGCCTCGAGGTGCCAGCAACATTATCATGGCGAAAGGGAGGCGAACCGTCAGCTCTTCAAAGACATGGTGCGAAGCAGGGCGCAGACGGGCCGGTATTTGGCCGGTAAGCCCAGCTTGCGCGCGCTAAGATGAAGCCGGACCCTGACAGCTATGGGCGCCTGTTTGGTTTCCACACCGAATAGTCGTCCACTTGCATGTGATTCTGAAGGTGACCTCAAACACGTTCATTGCAGGCCCATCGGCACAGAACGAAAACTACGCCTTCAATGCACGGGGGAAGACTACTAGGACGTCATAGTCATTCTGGGGGGAGCCGTCTGCAGACACTGCGGGCCTGATAGCGTTGCAGCCGTTCTCAGAACGATAGGCCTGTTGGTCAAAAAATCACACGTAAGAGTTTCGAACTCAAACCAGACTCCGCCATTACCGACATTATGCGGACATCGCTTCTCGCGCGAACAGGTCGCTCCGACTCGCTACCCACCAGTAAGCCTCGCAACTGTCAAAAAATGTGACTCCGCTCGATTTACTCTGTGTGAGAATTTTTTCAAACAGGCCTATCATTCTGATAACGGCTGTGAAACACACATCCCTCATTCTCGGCTGGCAGGCTGAGAGCGCGTACGCCCGTCCGTCCTCCCCCCGCCGGCCGGGAGCTCGTCTTGTCCCAACCTGAGATTACATAAGTTCCAGGGAACGAAGTGGGCCGACGTTGCCTCAATGTGGGATCGGCGAGCATCCACAACGGCGAGTTGACGGGCTGCCCCGTCGCCGTCTCGACAAAGTCTATGCCCCATTCCAGAGACGCGTACGACCCGGGGAAGAGGCGGAGCGACGGGTGAGTCGTAGTATTCTCCCGTCTAAGCGTGCGGGTCCCAGGCTGTGGTGACAAATGTCTGTGATCCCTGGCCTTGGGCAATGCGTGACTATACTCAGTACAAGTTTCCGTGATGTAACGATCTGTGACGCCGCGCGTCGCAGTCGTGACCTCACGCGTCTTCGCACAACGCCACCTCACTGCATGAGATTGACCAGGACCACAAAGAACGCGTATCCTCCAACATTTTGGACCTTTGAATTTGAATTTGACGAGTATTCACGTGTGCGCTCTAAAAATGGCAATGGGTGCGTCGTGGCGTTATTTGCCGACTCTTCGCTTTCATAGGGCCTAAAGACTAAACCGGTCTCCTTATAGCTACGCCGATTACTCCTGTGTCGCCCCTGGCGGAGGCACTTCAACGAGCACAGGTGATTTCCCTGGTGCATCCGTTGCGATAGCCTATCGGCAGCTACGGATGCATCTGGACGGATCTGGCGATCCGTGATGCGCGCCCGTGGAGACGCGCCTCGGTGGGCGGCAAGGACGCGTGGCGCGCATCGCGTCCCTCCCCTTCACCGTCCTTGCTCTCCTCCACCACCACCCTCGCTACCCCCAGCCTCCCCGCTCTGCCCAGGCAGACGATAGCGACCATACGGTCGACTGTCGTCTGCTATTGGACCCCGGTGTCACCAGGTGACACCGACCTTCCCTTCTCCGACCTCCCTCGACCTCGATCCCACCCTATACCCACCTTCCCGACCGCACTCAAAACAAACACACCACACGAGGACGCCCATACGGACATCCACAGCATGGAGATTGGAATAGGGGGCCGCGGCGATGCACCGCGGCGCTCGTTGGTGAGTCCTCCGCTCAGTCCTTCTGCACTCCCGATGCCCACCCATGTCCCCTGCCTACGACAGACCGAGGACGTCCACCCTGACGTCCTCCTCCTCCGAGCCGCTCTCCTCCACCCGCTCTCCTCCGTCCGCGTCGCCCACCTGCGCCATCCGCCTCTGCGTCGCCCTTCTCGCCCTGCGCCGCCCCTGCCTGCCGCCTCCTTCGCGCCGCCCTCCTCTGCCCGTGTCACCCGCCTCCTCCGCATCACCCTCCTCCTCCCGCGTCGCCGCGCTCCTCCGCGTCGCGCTCCTCCACCCTCGTCACTTGCCTCCTCCCCGCACCTCCTGCCCGCGCCGCCCTCCTCCGCGTCGTCCCGGCCCAATCACCTCCGACGCCTGCGTCGCCTCCTCCGCCCGCGTCGCCCGCCCTCTTTGCTCTGTGCCTCCCCCTTCGCATCGCGCGCCCCCGCCCGCGTCGCCCACCACCTTCTCCGCCTCGTCCCGGCCCTCCGCGTCCCCCGCGAGCCCTCCGCCTCGCTCTCCTCCGTCTCGCTCGCCGCGTCTCCCGCATTCACGTCGCCCTCCTCCGCCTTGTCCTCTACATCGCCCTCCGCCTCCTCCTAGTCCCTCCGCCTCCTCCTGGCTCTCCGCCTCGTCCTTCTCTGTGCTGCCCCGCTCCCCATCACCCTCCTCCGCCTCTGCCTCCGCGTTGTCGTGGGGCGTGGCTTACTTACTAGCCCACCTATGTAGTAGTTTACTAATAAATATATTTCGATCACTAATCATATGCAAGATGTGGTGTGAATCAAAGAGGGAGGCGAGCTTACCGTCGGAGACGGCGAGCTCAGGTGGCAGGGCCCGAGGCGCCGGTGTCCGCTCGGGATCCGTGCGCGCTCGGGGAAGGCGGTGTGGAGCGCAACCGGGCCGGCCGGCACCAGATGCATCCGCACCTGCCGATAGGCTATCGCAATGGATGCACCTGGTGAATCACCACTGTAGCTTCAACGTGTCTCTGAAGAGTATAGCAAGATCCGTGGCTCCCTCAGGTATAGCATATATCTCACTTCTGTTCAGTCAACAGTGACCTCACCTGCCAGCAGTGTAGAACAACTGGAGCAGACCGCCGAGATGGTTCAAGCCTGGTCGAAAACACTCTGCAGCCAAATTTTCCGTGTGGTAAACACCCGGTCTCTGACAGAACGGCTCCCGAATGAAGTCCTCGCTCATATCTTTCTCCTCGCCACCCACGATACCAGGCAAGCGAGGTCGCTCGACTCCGACCCGGAGGATCTCGTGCCCATCGGCACCTTGCTCTCGTTGACGCATGTCTGCCAGCGATGGCGACAGGTCGCCATCGACTTCCCGCTCCTGTGGACGCACATCGACCTCCACGACAGCAGGCAATTTGCCGCCTTTGAGCAGCGCTCGCGGGGACTCCCACTTTCTCTGCGGATCAACCGCGACGACATCTTCAGAATCACCCGAGACGGCAAATGTGAGGACGACAAGTGGGCCATAGAGATCAACAGCGGCGAAATCTTCACAACCGCCTGTGACGATGAACGTGTGGACGACGAGTACGCCATGGGGAAGCTCATCGCCTCCGTCGCGGACCGGCTTGGCACGCTCGACATCATACCCATGTTGGAGGACGGCCAGTCGCCAAGATGGCTCCGCGAAAAGATGTGTCTGCCTCGACTGGAGGTTCTGCTGCTTCACTTCATATATGAGCTACGCCCACCCTGGCCTTTTTTGGCGAGGAAACATCGAACCTCAAGGCACTTGCCATGAACGGGTCTGGAGACTGGGTGCCCAGCAACCATTTCGTTCATCTTACCCATCTGTTAATCTCTTGGGAGTACGAAGATGACGACACGACCTTGTACCAGTTGCTCTCGCGCACTCCCAATCTCGAGATCCTGGAATTGGAGAACATCGGCACATGCCGAGGAACGCCGGAACGCCCGGCTTCGCTGCAAAGGCTGCGGTCCATCACGTTTTTGGCGTCGAACGGTCACGCTGTGGACCTGTTCAAGTTCTGCAGCACCACCAATCCGTTTCCCTTACGTATGACGGCCACCCACATCCTCATCTCGGACGCCCTCGACACGCTCAACTGCCTCCCTTCGGTCCACCAAGCGACAGATCTCGACATCCGAATCGGCACCGAGCTGCGGAACGTCCACTTCGTCCTTCAGAGCGTCGTCGCGGGCTTCTGGCTCCAGGGGCGCACGGTCGAGCCAGGTGCCGCTCACGACTGGTTCCTCCCCCACGTCCTCCACCTCCACGCACACGCACCCCTCTCCGCCGTCACCTCCGTCACGCTCGATGTGCCCTTCATCGAAGCCAGCGGGCTCGTCGACGTCCTCCGCCACGTCCCCCGGCTCGAAACGCTCAAACTCCGCCTCTCCACCCCCGTGCGTGCCCGCGCGGCCGACAACGAGGTCCGGCGCGGCCTGCGCGCCGCGGGCGGACCCGCCACCCAGGTCGCGCACCTCTGCGCCGCTTTGTGCGAGCGCGCCGCAGAGCCTTCGCCCGACCCGGCGCCGGCGCTGTGTCCGGCGCTGCGCGCGCTCGCGCTGTGCTCGAACATGTGCCGCGAGACCGCGAAGCTGCCGGACGACGTCGGGCGGTACGCGGGCGCGCTCGAGGACGTGGCGCGCGCGCGGCGGGCAATGGGGTGCCCGCTGCGCGAGCTCGTCGTGCAGCCCATGAGCGCCTCGGTCTTGCCTGGCGACAGGCAGGCGGCGCAGAAGCGGTTCGGAGAGCAGCTGCCGCAGCTCGTTGAGCTGTTCGAGTTTCTGGGCCCGGGGGACGACATCTTCGGAGATTTTGCAGTGCGAGAGTTTTGGTCTGTGGACGGGGAGGATAGGTACTGGACGAGGGACGATGACTGGCGCCCTCAGTTCGATCGGGGGCACCTGCCGTGGTAGTTGTTCTGGACTTCGTCGGGTTTGCCAATGGTAGGCCCTTTGCCAGCGCCGTCTCCTGGATGGCTGACTAGTGCTCGACCCCGACGCGCTCGTCTGGTTCTTCCGCCACATACCGCTTCTCGCAGCGCCCTCTCTTTCTTTTTTTCATACCTCACCGGTGGCATCGCCGGGCCGAGTACGGCCCTTCGGGGATGTCGAAAATGAACACCCCTGGTCCGCAGTTGCGCGAGGATCGGGTTTGACCTGCCGTGGCGCGTGCCCCCATGAGGCTCGCTTCGCTCGACGCGCGCAAAACGCAGAATGAACGTACTCCGGTGAGCCACAGTAGCAGTCAATGATCCCTCGAAGAGCAGCGAGGGTGGGTGCACAAAGTACCCGGAAAGGCCGCGCTCATAATCCAGGTTCAGAACTGCCGCCGGGCAAAGTGACTCCAGTGATGGTTGGGGGCGGAATCAATCATGACACGATAACATAGCTAGAGCAGGATCACGAAGCGCGATCGGGACGACAGCGGCTGCATTACACACTCGTCGGCGCTGAACGAGCAGCTGCTAATCGCCGGGAGCATCCGTTGCGGCAGCCTTTCGGCGGGGTGCGGATGCATCCGGTGATCCGTGATGCGCGCCCATAGAGACGCTCCTCTGTGGGCGGCAAGGACGCGTGGCGCGCATCGTCGCGTGGCTGTGATGCACGCCACACCCCCATTCGCCGTCCTCCCTCTCCTCCCCCTCCTCCTCTTCCCTGCTCTGCCCAGGCAGACGATAGCGGCCATACGGTCGACTGTCGTCTGCTATTGGACTACAGTGTCACTTGGTGACACTACTCTCCCCTTCCCCTCCTGCCCTCCACCTCGACTTCCATGCCGTCCTTCACCCACCTTGCCGGCCACCCTCACAACGTCAAGTGCGCACAAGAACGTCCATCCGGACGTCCTTAGCATGGAGATTAGAATATGGGGGCCGGGGCGATGTACCGCGGCCCTAGTTTTGGTGAGTCCGCTCGGACCTCCTCCCCAGGCTTCCTGCCTCACCCATCCGACCTACCCCCCTGCCTTCACGCCCGCCTCCTCCGCACCCGCATCGCCGCGTCGCCCGCCTTCGTCTTGCTGTGTCGTCCACCTCCGCCCACCTCACCGTCCACGCTCCTCCGCATCCGCGTCCTCCGCGTCCGCGTCCTCCGCGCCCGCCCCGCGTCCTCTTCGCCCTCCTTCGCGCCCGCCTCGCCCGCCTTCGCCTCGCCGCGTTGCCCTACTCCGCACCCGCCTCCTCGCCCGCCTCCTCTGCGCCGCCCGCGTCGCCCGTCTCCGCCCGCGTCGCCCGTCTCCGCCCGCGTCGCCCTCACTCGCCCGCGTCGCCCGCCTCCTCCACACCGCGCTCCTCCGTCCTCCGCGCCGCGCCCCTCCGCGTTGTCCTCCTCTGTGTCACCCGCCTCCACCTGCGTCGCCCGCCTCCACCTGTGTCGCCCTCCGCCTCTTCCAGGTCTTCCGCGCGGTCTCCGCCGCGTCGCCGTTGTGCGTCGCGCACAACCACCTCCGCCTCCTCCCGGTCCCCCACCTCCTCTGCGAGCCCTCCACGTCGCCCTACCCTGCCTCCGCGTCCACCCGAGTTGCCCTCCTCCTCCTCTTCGTCCTCCGCCTCCGCGTTGCCCACCCCCTTCGCTTCGCCCGCCTCCGTGTCATCCGCTTCCCTGCGCGTCACCCGGCGACCCACCTTCGCGCTGCCCGCCGCCTGCATCGCCCGCCTCCGCCTGCCTCGCCCTCCGTCCGCGCTGCCCTCCCCGCATCGACACTTACGACATGCAGAGGACGTCCGCCTGGACGTCCTCCCCTGGAGATGAGAATATCGGGGTCACTGTGAGCTACGGCGACCCCTTTCTAGTTCGGTGAGTATGCCCACCTGCCTCATTCTCCTCCGCTTTCCCGCGTGTCCCGCTCGTTCGCGCGGGCACGTCCTAGCTCGGCACGCACGGGTACAGCATCACGTCGCCCCTGCCTCGCCTCGCCCGCCTCTGCATCACCCGCCTCCGCGTCACCCGCTCCGCATGCCCGTGTCCGCGCGTGTCGCCCTCCTCCTCTGCGTCCTCCGTCTCGCCACCCATCTCCGTCTCCGCATCACCCGCCTCTGCCCATGTCGCTCGCCTCCGTCCACGTCGGCCCGCGCCTCCTCCACCACTCCCAGCCCTCCACGTCGCCCTCTTCCACCTGCCTCCGCGTTGTCGCGTAGTATTACTTGTTAGTCCTGTTGTAGTAGCTTACTATCAAATATATTTTGATCGCAAATTCTATACAAAAAGTGTGGTCTGAAACAAAGGGGGAGATGAGCTCACTGTCGGAGACAGTGAGCTCAAGTGGGAGCACCAGAGGCGCCGGTGGCCAGACATGTCGGGACAGTGTTGCGCCCGTGGCGGCGCGTGGGGAAGCGGCAGCGGTGTAGATTGCAACCGGGCCGGCGGGGGTGACGGATGCATCCACACCTTGCCGAGAGGCTATGGTAATGGATGCATCAGTCGAATAGCTACTGTAGGCTGAACGCAAACTACGCTTCAACACGAGGGAAAACGAGAACGTCATACATAGTCACTCTCGGAGGAGCCGTCTGCAGACACCGCGGGCCTGATGGGGGCGTCGAAATGCACATCCCCGGCCGGCAGAGTGCGTACGTCCGTCCGTCTTCTCCCGGCCGGGATCTTGTCTTGTGCCGGCCTGAGAGAAAGGTCCAGGGAACGAAGTGGGCCGACGTTGCCCCCCTGCAGCGGGAACGTATAATGGGCGAGCATCCACAGCCCGAACGGGAACGGCGAGTTGACTCCGGGCCGCCCCGTGTCCGTCTCGACAAAGTACATGCCCCATTCTCGAGACGAGTACGACCCGGGAAAGAGGCGGAGCGAGTACTCCGTCCCCGGGATCGGCTGGGCGTATACGTGGGGTGATTCCGGGCCTGGTTTCACCTGTCTGTAGCGGTCAGGACTCAGAAGGGTCAACTCGAATGACGGATATTCTTCGATTCATTCTTGAACAGTCAAGATGCTACACGCCGCCATTCCGAGCACCGGGCATCGGATGTGCGGGCAAGGGTCTCATCTCGTAGAGGTCTGGTTTTGTAGTGATTTCGACAGCCGGACGGGGCTGCGGTGATCGTGGTCAGCGAGGTGAAGTCTCTCCGGCGCTCGGATCTTACCTCACTGAACAGTGTGCGGGGTGAATACTCCCCCACAGCGAGGGACTGCGCGACGCCAACCTTGACGGTGCTGACATCCACATTCTGGTAGGTCGGCCGCATGTCGGTACCCGCACAGGCGCCATGGATGAGCGAAGCAGATGGGAAGTGATAGGCGCACGGCTGCTCACCGAAGCTTTGCCTGCGGGCAAGCGGTTTACGGACACAAAGGAGCGTGTTCCCAAAGTGCCGGACGCACCAGATGAGCCGGACGCCGACCCTGCCTTGCGCGTGAAGCCCCGACAGTTCAACCTGAACAGAGTATTCAGGAGGATTTCCATGCGGCGTTCGCTCAATACCGGTGCGTACACTGCTAGGACCGATGTGACGTAACCTTTCGGGGTGAGGCGAATGAGTGACCGTATAGAACATAGATTGCAAACAACTGCACGTACATTTGACTGTCGGGAATACCACCGCCGCGTAGACGAGGTTGTCAGGGAGTACGAGAGCCTTGGTCGGCAATTAGAAACTGCATCATAACTGAGTCTGAGATACGAAGGACATACCAGCACGAGACAGGATATGCTCAGGATGCTGACGCGTACGTGAGAACTACCCCAATGAAGTGGGAAGACTGCGGTGTACCTGATCAGGACGCCTGATGGCCAACAGTAACCCTCAGCAGTGTTTCCGAGTTCGAGAACGATGCTTATGTCGCTCACCAGTGTTGATAGTGTACACAGTCAGAATATTGATGAAGGAGTCCGTCCTGATAATCGCTTCACCGATATATTCCATTCGTCGAAAGGAAACCGAATACCTTTCGAACCCGGTCCGGTTGGTGCGCAGAAACACAAGAAGCGTGAGCGAGAGCAGCACGTCTGTGCCCAGCGAGAACCCGAACGCAGCAGAGGTCATCCACTACTCGCAGCATGGTCAGTATACGAAGTCCCTGAGTGTGAATAAGTCGCGCATACCGTGAATGGTTCCCATGCTGGAATGGTAAGGTGCCGACAGCTATTCGGCTGAGAGTGAGCCTCTGGGTCGCATTGGCCATGAGCAAACTCAGAAAACATACACCTCGTATGAAGAGGCTGCGGTGTGAGAAGGTTAACTGAGCTCGAACAGGAAGATATCGTGAATGACCCGCACCGAACGAAAATCCTGCCATCTATCAGCTCAGTAGTCCTGGAGAGACGGAGAGACGACATACCGAAACAACCCATCATCAAGATCGCCTGGCAGAACAGTCAAGACGCGACACAAACACAACGATATCAACTCACTACTAGTACAGCAACGTGCCGATACCATCCGCCCACTACAGTGGTGTTTTGTCAGAACGGGATTCTGTCTTATCGTGCCGATACCGCTTACATAGAAACACTCGGCGAGCGTAGAACCTGAACATGTGCTGTTTCAATGCACATCATCCAAGTGGCTATACGACGACGCACGTCTGTCCAAGAAGAACGGTTGCAGCCTGAGACATAGACAGTCAACAAGCATTCGTGCAACTAACCCAGACCTCGACATTACGTTTGTCGGTATAATGGACTTATTGGTTGAAATTCAGCAACACACTATGTATTGCGCACCCGGGTAGACTTACCTTGATTGACCTGTTTGATCATGACATACGCACTCAACAAGACTTCACAAAGATACAGGTTTTTCCTCTCACCAATTTATCACAATGAGCTCCGCGGGGTTGAAAAAGTTTACGACGAGGAAGTGATAGCTTGCACACATGGCATGAGATACTGCAACGATCGATATGGTGGACAGAACTCAACAGCTTACCACAGATGCATATACACGATTGAATTGAAAGTACTGACTACGCTGAAAAGGGCGTCAGAGTCCAGACTGGTCTCACAGGCGATGCAGGGGCGGCCTACAGCATGCTCGCTACCTGTGGGCCCAAGGTCAGCCATGTTTCATGCACCGTTTATATGACGTACGAGGAGTTTAACAAACAGACTGTCGGACCAGTAGCGTCGAAAATAGTGCTGAGCCTGTTGAAAAGAGATGCCGTACACTCTGTGAACACGCACGTCAGCAATGGTCTGAACGGAAGAATCAGCTACGCACATCAAGCCAACGAAAGTGGCGACCAACACGGCTCCATATGTGTTGTCTAACTTTGGGACCACAGGGAGAGCTTCGGGGGAGGCGGGGCTGGAGGGACCGGGCTGCATCATGGACAAGGGAAGGGAGGAGGGAGGTTCAATATTCGCGACGGAGACGAGGGATGATATGCCTATGTATACCCAGCCATTTAGGTTATCGTTCGAAGGTGACGTGCGGAGGACTCACGCCGAAAGAACGGAGACATCGCCCGGTCCCCCATGAATGCCCAGATCGAAGTCCTGTGAGATGCGGTGGGCGGAGAGAAGACGATGCAGAGGAAGCTCGCGAACGAGGACGTCGCGATAGATTTTACATCCGAGTTTCCGCGAAAGTTCAGTGTCCACTGGTAGCACTGGTCAGAGGCGAAGCACGCGTAATCGCTCATGCTACCGCACCCACCGACCATGTTCACACATTGAACCTCAGATTTCGAGGGGTGGGGTACGGAGGATACCTGTCTATGGCACCGAGAGCGGTCCCATGCGGATCTTCTCGAAGCTGATGGACAGACTCCTTATCGTCGAGCATCTGTTGAACTTTCATGAACCAGAAGCGAGAGGTGACACAGGGTGCCTGGAACTCACCCATCGTGATGTCCGGTTGTAAGAAAGATAGTATGATACAGGGTATTCTCTCCGGCGGGCTTCGGGTGCGCAGCGGCGACGGCATACAGGCATCGCGCGGGGCGTGGCCAATTCATGTCCGACGGAAAACACAGTGAGTTTACTCATCGATAGGAACGCTCATACGCGTAGGTGTACAGTGAGCGTTTCTATGCCCCGGAGGAAATTTATGGGCGACGTAGGCAGCATGGCAGGGCGGCCAACGAATGCGTAAAGCAGAGGATCTGTCATTGAATGAACTTTGAGCCAGAGTTTGCGGGAACGACGCACTGCCATATCCACGGTTCGAAGTTCGATACCCACGATATAAATACCCGTACAAATCAAGTGCGGTGTGAAAATGGAGGAAATAATCGGGGTGTGTCGTCGTTCTGAACGGTTAACTGGGGCTCGTACTCGTCCATGTTGAACTTGAAGGCGCTTACTGTATATGTGTAATCAAGCGTGAGCAGGACCGCATGCTGTCACAGGGCAGTTCGCGCTTCGTCACTACCAGTCACACGAACAGAATGGCAGCGCTCGCCGCCGGGCCGCGTTCGACAGCGCTTGATCCCCCAGCACCATCCCTCTAAATATGTTGTCTGCGCTACGCACCTCACAATTACCGACTGTTGTGTTTTGATTCGTGCATCGCATCTGACTATCTCTTCAGACTCGCGCCAGACACGACAAGCCTTACGATACATCGACTCGCAAGGCTCGTTCCAACCCGGTTGAATACAGAATGAGGCTAGCTAGGTGTTGACAAAGGTCGAGAGCGAACTTGACGAACTCAACGCAGTGGAGGCTGCTTCATTTGAGCGACAAACACCCACCAAACCTCTGCCGTGCGACGGCGTCCATCCGCGCCTTGACCTCTCGAAACGCTTTCCACCACGCCCGCCCCACGTACTCAGACGTCATCCGCGCAGGCCGCGGCGCCTCCGAATCCTCTTCCTGCACATGCTCCCACACCCCAAAATGTCGCCTCAAGAGCACGAGCCACCACTTCGCGACCGCGACCGCGCGCTGCACGCCCGTGTCCCCCGACCGCTCCCCGTCGACGCTCTGCACGAGGAACTTGGCGAAATACTCCACGTCCCGCGCGTTCGGCGGGTGCTCCGCGAAGCCCGCCACCCACCGCCCGACGACCGCCTGCACGTCCTCCGTCTCGCAGAACGCGAGCCGCTCCCCCGGCGCCGGCCCCTGCTGCTTCAGCGCCGGCCGGTGCGGGAACACCGCGCGCGGCGGCGGCGGGCGCGGGACGATGTACCCGCCCGCGACGCCCTTCTTCGGCCCGCGGTGCGGCTTCAGCGGCTTGCGCGCGGCGAGGTGGAGCGTCACGCCGGGCGCGCGGTGCGCCGCGAGCTGCTCGCGCCGCACCTCGGGCGGGAGCGCGGCGAAGACGGCGGGGTCGAAGCCGTACCCGCGCAGCTCGCGGTCCGAGACCGCGACCGAGGACGCGTACACGCGCTTCGCGAACAGCCGGCGTGTCTGCGAGAGCGGCGCGCGCGAGCGCGGGGAGCGCTGCTTCGCGGTCCGCCGCGCCGGTGAAGTTGTACCTGCGCTTGGAGGGACCCGGGCGCGGGCCGGGCGAGGGGACCTTCGGCGGGGGCATGGGGTTCGCGGGAGGGGCGGGCGTGGCGGAGCGGCGCTTGTACTCGTCTTCGAGCTCCTTGCGGACGTCGTCGGGGAGCGCCTCGAACACGGACATGTCGACTTGAGAGAACGAGGGAAGCTCTAGGTTGACGCCTGGGCTGCGAGCGTTTGGAGGCTCTATGATCTGGATCTCATCGTCCTGTGAAGGGGGCTGCACAACGATACGCTGCTTGCTAGAAGACGCGACCGCAGCGGATGCTGGTTTCGGGGCCTCGATGCGTCTGAACGGTAGCACTGCTGCCCATGCTCAGCCTCTCGAGGGCCAGACGCATTCTCGAGCTTCTGCATCTGGATGGAGATCCCGCGGAGCTCTTTCGGGTCAAAGCTGAACGCTTTCAGCAGCCGCCACGCGTGCTCCCCAATGACCTTGTCGTCGCTCGTAGCACCTCCGCCTGGTGCAACGATAGGCGCTTGCTTGTTGTGTGACAGACACATGCCGTGGCCGAGAAACTGCACGAAAATCAGTCGAGCTACCTGGTTTTCAGAGAATGCATACCTTGGGAGCCTCCACCGGAGCCTCGGGATCGCGAACCATCACCTTCAGAGTGAGGGAGCGCCCCCGCTTGTCAATCGCCTTCAGCCGCCGTGCTACTTCCTCGGCCATCTGAAACACAAACGTCTCTGCCTGCTCGTTGTTCTCGAAGCGGATGCCGTACTAGACGAGGGTTAGATAAATACACTGGCAGTTGAGAACACACGTACGTTGATGTCGCAGGAAACGGACTTGCGTGGTTTGTCGCTTTCCAGCTGGCGTTCATCGATGCCCCGCAGAGCCTTGTACAACATCTCACCCGTGCTCTTTCCGAGAGCCTCGCAGAGCGTGGCTCTGCTCTTCTGCGCAAGCTCGCCCAGGTTCGTCGTGCCGAGCTTCTCTTCAGCCTTCTGCCGCGCCGACCATCCAAACCCGTGAAGTTTGTCGATGTCGAGCGGAGCCAAGAACTCGGATACGCCATCTTGACGGAGGTGGAACGAGCCTCCAGGCTTCGCGCGGCGAGAGGCGAGGCGCGCCAGCATGATGTTGTTGGCGATCCCGATGCTGACTGCGCTCGTGGTCAGCCTTCGTTGGAGACTGGAGAAATGCGGGACACGCACTTTCGCAACCTGTCGCCTTGCGCACCTGAGCACGGATAGCCTCGGCAAAGTCCTTTGCGGGATCTGAGGGCTCCGAAACCTCAGCTCCGGCGTCGGTGCGGTCCGCGATCTCCGTGCGGATCCGCGCGACGCTGGAGGAGACGTCAATAAGCGCTTCGTCCACCGAGACCGCTTGCAAATCGTCTGCGTGGGCCATTAAGATAGTGTAGAATTTCAGGGAGAACTGCTTGTATCTGCGGGATGAATGTCAGGCTTGATCCACGACATGAGACGACGAACTCACTTCTGGAACTCGTACGGTATCGTGACGACACTGGGGCAGAGTTTTCTAGCCTGCTGGAGACTGTGTACAGGGTAAGTATACATCGCGGTAGACGGTCACAAGAAACACGCACCTCATGCCGCCCTTGATCCCAAACTCGCGCGCTTCATAGCTGGCACTCGCGATCTCGCTTGTGCTGGAGGTGCCCCCTGTGCTCCCCTGGGAGTGACACACCACGACCGGCTTTCCGCGCAGATGCGGCCGCTCGATCAGCCCCGCGGACACGAAGAAGCTATCGAAGTCGCAGTGCATGATCACCCGCTCCTCGCCCGCGCCCGCCTTGCCCTTGCCCTTGCCCTTCTGGAGCCGCGCGCCGCGCATGCTCACGTCGCCCTGCAGCCCCGCACTCCCAAGCCCGTGCCCACCCATGTTCTCGCGCACGACGCGGTCCACCGCCTCCAGCCCCGCGCTCTGGCTCCGCTCCTCCGCCCGCGGCGCGTCCTCCCCCTCCCCGGCCTTTCCGGCGTCGCCGCGCTCCGCGCGCTCCTGCGCCTCCGCGACGAGGTTCTTGAGCTCGGCCTTCCACGTGGAGAGGTGGTGGAGGCGCGAGTTGCGGTAGTAGCCCTGGATGAAGTCGGGCGCGACGGAGGTGTGCGCCGCGCGCCACGCCGGGTCCGCCATCGCCCGCGTCGCGTGCGGGTTCGACCTGTCCGCGGCGTACCCGGGGATGTGGGCGGCGCCCTCCGGGGAGGCGGCGGTGTACAGGCCCGGCGGCGCGTGGGCGCGGGAGGGCGTGGTGGGCGCGGGAGGGTTCGAGGCGCGAGCTTTGCCCTTGCCCATCTGCACGGACTTCGGAGGCGTGGTCGGTCTTGGAGGATCAGGGCGAGATGGTACGGCGGAGGGTTGTGCGGTGATTTGAGGGGCTTGCGAGACGAAGTTGGCGAGACTCTTCTGTGCGACTTTGCGCCCCTGCGCGTTTTCGGCGCGTTCGCCGGGGTGAAAGAGGAAGTCTTGCCAGGGGAGAAGGGTGCCCGCTTTCAGGCTCTCTACGAGCCAATCGGGTCGCACGACTTTCATGTGCTGGAATTCGCGCACTTTGGCAGGAGTCAGCGAACAGGTGAGGATGTGGGTGCTGTACAAAGAGTCAGCGGTGGTCAGAGACGAGAGGTTCCATACGTACACGAGCGACTTCTTGTCAAGGTACGCATGGAATATACCACCGTTTTGGACGATCAGTTTACGCAGGTCTTGTATCGAGGGCTCTGTCCACCCGTTGATCTCGAGATCCCATGTCAGAACTCAACCACTACAAGCACAAATGGCAGGCTCACGTAGATCTGCAAGCCGCTGAAAAGTCTGCTTTTGACTACATTTTCGCCCTCGACGTCCTCTGAATCTTGAATCTGCGCGTTCTGGACTTGCAACTTCGCGCGCTTGCGAGACATGTACTCGCCCCACTCTCCAAAGCGAGACGGCCCATACGTATGGCCCTCGAGGTACTCCCCACCGTCGTCTGCGTGCGCATCTACGGCGCTGATGCCAGTGTGGTACTGCGCCGCGTCCTCGTCCTCGTCGATGAAGGCGTCGTCGTCGTCTCGGGACCTCTTGCGTGGTTGCTGTGCTAGGGGTGGCTCGTTGGCTGGTCCTGCGGAGATACCGTTTGCAGATACCTGAGGAGCATTGTCGATTCCAGGGAGAGGAAGCTCGCTGATGGCTTTGAGGAAGTCCGGGTCATCGTCGTAGTAGTCGGAGGACTGCGTACTGCCCTGAGTGGAGCGCGGCATCCGAGAATGGTTGAGGGCACTCGGCGTTGAAACGTGCCCTTCAATAGTGTGAGTACAAGGAGGAGCTAGACCCGCTGCGCATAACCAAGTATTCGGTACCCGGTGTGATTAAGCGATGTGCATATGGGGCTGGAAGGTCAAAAGTCTGAACGTTGCTAACTGAGGGAGGCGACTCAAGGCACAACTTCAATTTGAGTCACCCGCCAGTTGCCACGTGGGCGAGGTTGCTTACTCAACGGGCGCCAATCAAACCTTAGGTCCGATGCCTGGGGGAGACTACAACTTGAGAATACACCACCAGCAAACCTCTTCGCCGAACATATCATGCTGTGGTTAGCATTAACACGGTCGGTAAGCATCGAAAATGTGGTCTGCGGTGTCCGCAGCTCCCATTCAGTCATTGCAAATGGTTGAGAAAACGTTTGGGAAAGAACTTAGAAGGTGTCAAAAGTCAGTCAAGCTATGTCTATTATTGCTCTCCGGCATTGAGTCTTCCCGTGTATTTAGGTATATGTTTCTGGCATCAGCCAGGCGGAATCCACACGCACCGTGTACCTCCCCTTCGTGCCTAGACAGCGTTCAAGTTCCAGCCGCGTGGACATGCCCAGATCTGAACCTATTGCTCGTTATCCGGTTTCTACTCACACTCGGCGTGGACGCTCGTGAAGAGGACTGAGGAAGCAGGGCAGGTCATAAAGCGTGCGCAACGCTCATGCGGGGAGAATGTGGCGGCGAAGGCTGCCGTTGTTGGCCGATTCTCGGCTGAGTGTCCAGCACGTCTGGACGGTCTGGGGACAGCTGGTTCCTTAATCACCTGAGTTCCAATCTCACCCCGCGGGCCATCGGCTTTCAGGCACCAGCCGTTCCAGAGGATCCAGCCCCAGACGTGCTCTTATAGAAGTGCTTCCATTTCTACTTCGCAGACCATCGACTCCAGACGTCTCTTCCCTCCTCCTCCTCCTCCTCCTCCTCCTCTCGCACAACCCCAGTGCCCACAACAGAGCCAGCATGGCTTACAACCACCTCGCCACGCCTGACGCAGAACTCGCCCCAATGCTTGGGCCTGTATCTCCGATGTTCCCACCCGGTCTCATAAAATCAGATATCAATGCGATCAGGGCTATGGTCCACAGCGTTGAGAAGTCTCTGAACGAATCCCAAGTTCCTCCTGGTCAGTTCTTTTCTGCCCGACTTTGCTCATAAGCTGATATTCACCTACGAATAAGATGCTGTTGTAGTCGCAGAACACTCTGTTCCAGTGGAGGAGGGATCGATCTTAGTGCGGACTTATCGATCAGCGGATCCTCTGGATACGAAGTTACCTCTGCTGGTCTGGACGCATGGCGGAGGTACGCACGTACGAAAAATGCACGCATATATCCCAGCTCACCGCATATATCAGGACTCGTGTTCGGTGATATCGACACTAGCGACCGAGTATGCCAAGTCCTCGCTCATAACCTCAAACTGTCGATAGTCAATGTGGAATACAGGTATACACCTTGCCGATCGTCTTCATCGTGGTCTCCTGAGTCTTCCGGACAGGCTGGCTCCAGAATTCCCTCATCCTACTCCGTTGAATGATTCGTACACCGCGCTGAAATGGGTGAGTGTCTCGTCGCTCACGCGGCCTGCATGCGCTCATTGCCTACGAATACCCTCAGGCTGTCAAGAGCTATGACGCGTTGGCCGCAGATCTTTCCAAGGGTGTCATCGTGGGCGGCACGTCTGCCGGAGGATACCTCGCTGCTGCCATGGCGCACCGCGCGATCGCCGACCCCTTCTTCCCCGAGCACGGAACGAGGATCTCCGGCCAGGTGCTTCAGGTCCCGATGCTCTGCCACCCCGACGCGCTACCCGAGTGAGTCTCACCTGTGCAACCTGCGAATCGGCAGTTCGGACAGTGCTGACGACTCCGGGGGCAGATCCGCGAACTTGACCTCGTATGAACAGAACGCGGATGCACCAATTCTCCCCACCTATGCGATGCGGGAGATGTACGGTGCGCGGACTCTCCCTCGCTCGGGCTTCGCGGCGCCTAACGCCTCGCGTTCTCGGGAACGCGCAGACCACTTCTCGGGAACCCGTCGGATCCTGAGTTCTCCCCGCTCCTTCAGCCGTCGTTGGAGGGTCTTGCTCCCGTATACATGCAGGTCACCGGACGGGATCCCCTGCGCGACACCGGACTGGTGTACGTGGAGCGCCTGCGCGAGGCCAACGTTCCCGTGAAGCTTGATCTGTGCGTCCCTCCCTTCATGCTGCTTTCGCACACGTTTACTGGTGATTGGGGAACGATAGCTACCCGGGCGCGCCGCATTTATTCCACTTTATGTTCCCGCAGACCAAGCTTGCGGAACGGTGGGCGCGAGAGGCGATGGAAGGAGTGCAGTGGCTCCTGGCTCAGGGAAGCGCATGAATGAAAACGACGTTCGCGTTGTAGACGCATGCTGAGCTTCCGCCGTTGTGGAGTGTTATTGTGTTTCAATTGTAACGTGCGCGGGACAGACGCTGCTTATTCCCACACCGACAAGTGGACTTCGTTTGAGGAAAGAGGTGCACGCCCCTCCGCAGGACCTCCTTGTAAAGTGGGTACACAAGGCATGATCGTCACTACTTGACAGGCTTCGGGTCCTTCCCTTTGATGTCCCCCCAGAGCCCCGTCCCGAACATCTGTCTGGCATTGACGGCGGCCAGGAGCGCTGCGATCAAGAACTCGGGCGCGACGTGAAAGATCCAGAACTCGGCCTTCTCCCCAGGCGTGTTCCCCGAGCAGCTCGCCGTCGACTCGAGGCCACCCAGCGGCGTCGAACAGTGGAGGACTCCGAGGCGGTAGATCGCCACGATCGCCTGCACCAACCGTCAGCACCCAACCAACATGCGGCTGCGACCGCACGACGTACCGCCAGCGTCCCCATGCTCGCGAGCCACACGATCGGCCACCGCGGCACACGCGGCACGCGGCACACCGCCCAGCCCACGACCGCGCCGATCCACACGAGCATGCCCAGCGCGATCCCGGCGCTCGCGTACCTGCGCGTTTGAGTGGACAGGCGGGACAACGTGAGCGTCGCTGCGCAGACTGCGTGCGGCGTGTGGTTCCGACGGAAGCAGTGACGTACCAAATGCCCCGCACGAGCGCGGCGTGCGAGCCGTCCTTGAGCGTGCTCTTGTAGCTCACCCGGCCACGATGCCGAGGACGACCGCACCGAGCATGACGAGCCCGGGCAGGCCGCACGCCTGTCTGACGTAGTAGCGCAGCTGCGGGTAGTCGGGCTCGGTGCCCGGAGCGCTCCGCGGGTTGAGCTCGATGTCGGAGCTCGTCGCGATGGCGGGCGTGGACGACGGGCGTGCGCGGGGGTGAGCCTGCCGGCGTAGAGGCGGAGCATGTCGGAGCCGAGCGTGCAGCCCACGAGGAGGCTCCGGAGGAGGTCGAGGACGAGCTGCGCGTGGGTGATGAAGCCCGCAGCGAGGGTGGTCTGGAAGTACACCTGGAGCTCGCGGTTTGCGCGGAGGCCTTCGTGCTGCGCGGCGTATGCGCGCAGCGCGAAGAACACAACTCTGCGCCGGAGGGAGACATCTCCGAGTATTAGCGTACGCATGCACATGGTGCTGCGGAGTGTTCGAGACCCACCGTTCCAGCGCGCCGATGACGCTCCCCACAAGCAGGAAGCAACGCGAATCTGGGCGATACACGCGCCAGGCGATCACGATGAATACAGCGGCATATAGGATAGAGAATAGGATGGATGGGGCGAAGTCGAGAGGAAGAGGGATGCCTCCGATGGGCGCGGGGATCTGGTGGGTCATGTTTGGTTGGTCACTGGACATCGGGGCCGTGAGTGAGCACAAGTGAGGGGAGTGGTTGTGCACCCACTGGCGAGCATGAACAGAGCATTTGTAGTACGTAGCGTGGAAGATGGCGGTGCTGAGGAAAGCGGCAGCAGTGCCATGACAGTGACTCGCCGGGTCCGAGCGATCAATCAATCATGAACGTTTGAACGCTGTGCGCCTGTACAGTCTTCTTGGCGTCCGGCCTCCACGGATGGAACCGGGGAAGTACTGGCAAGTATCGTCGGTACGCCCATACCTGCCCACGCCTCATGGGCCAACTCCGATGTTACTCGGACACGGCGCCCGCCACTAAGCAGTATCCCATGAATCATGAGGTATCGTCATTATCGCCCTAATCCCCGGCGACTGGGTGGTTCCGAGATGCTAAGAAATACATGCAAAATCGTGTCTTCGTTCCATCGTGTCCGTCGTGAAGTCTAAGTGGATCAGGTCTACGGACTCGTGTATGCGAGCCGATGTTAATGCTTCGAGCGCATGCTCATGGTGCGCATTGTCGGGACTGCCATGCAGATTGGGCGTCAGCTGCCGCTTCGAATAACAGCAAAGAAAAGGGAGCGTACACATCATGAGACCCTTGATGTCCTTCACCCGCGCCTCCTCAACGCCCTTGCGCATGAGCACCACCCGGATACTCGTCCACACGAGCAGCAGCACGCCGAACGCGACCGGGATGAGCCAGTACAGCGGCGAGAGCTTTTCCGTGCCGCCGAAGACGACGTGGAGCGGCGGGGTGTAGATGATGAACATGCCGAGCGCGGCGCCGGCGAGGATGCCCGCGAAGTTGTAGTAGTTGCCGACGATCGCCTTCCCGAACGGGAAGCGGAACTTGGCCTTGACGGCGAAGACGTTGAAGCACTGGATGATGAAGATCGAGAGGTAGACGATCGACTGCGCCTGCGCGAACGCGTCGACCTGCTGCGCCGCGGTGAGCACTTGCCCGCGGCTGTTCGTGAAATCGGGCGAGTCGCTCTGGAAGTAGGTGATGTGGGGCACGGCGTTGAGCGCGGATTGCGCGCGGCGGAGATCGCCGGGCGTGAACCCGGCCTTGAAGAAGACGACGAAGTATGCGCAGAGCCTGGTGAAACGTCAGTCCCGGTGCTCTTAAACGCAAGGAGTGCGTACTCACGCTCCGGCGAATTCAATCATGCCAGCTTCGAGATAAGCGTAGCTGAGAAGCTTGGAGTCGACGAGCGTCTCGTCATCCGTGCGCTCCAGGGCATCCTCCCAGAACTGGCGGGTGAATGGCGCCTTGAGCTTCGTCAGGAAGACCGAGAGCTTGCTGGGCTGGATGGCTTCGTTCGTTTCAGGATCACGGGCAAGGGTCTTGGTACGGCGAAGCGCGCGCTTTTTGAGGGACGTGATCGAGCGATCGTTTACTGGGGGCACAGTCAGCCTAGCGGAACAGACGAATACTCAAGGGACGCACCAGGCTTGCGAGGCGACATGCGCATGAGACCGTCCTTCGTTTCCGGCTTGTCCCATGCAAACGAAAGTGCCACGAAGAGCTCGAAGCCAAGGTCGATAACGAGAATGAGGATGGCGGAGAGAGGAAGAGGGACGGGAACGACCACATCTACAGCATCGCATTAGCGTATGCCCGACTTTGGAAACAATGAACGTACAAGCAACTGTGGAATGACCTCCGGAGTACTGTGCGAGATGGTGTACTGGATGGAGCGCTTCAGATTGACGAAGATCTGACGGCCCTCCGCACACCCTCTGCGAGAGCGTTAGCATACGCATGATCATAGGGCGAAGTCGTTACTCACTGACGGTCGAGGCGAATTGTCGTCGAGCAGGATCATGTTCGCGGCCTCTTTGGAAACGTCAGAACCGGAGATGTTCATAGCGATCCCAAGGTCCGCCTTTTGAGCGCGGGAGAGTCGTTGACACCATCACCGGTACTGCGTGCGAGGTCAGCTACGTTGACAGAATATATAATCTAGGACGTACACTCCGACGATGTGACCGAGAGCCTGCGCGCGCTTGACTGCAGAGGCATCAGTCGCTGAGTGTCACGTAGAGCCTGGGAACTCACCAATCTCGAGTTTGTGCTGCGGGGACGTGCGCGCAAACACGATCTCATCCTTGGAGAAAACTAAGAACGATATCAGCACGACGCTCAACACTCCAGGTGCACAGCTCACTTTGGTCCCATTGCCAGCCCTGCAGAGCATCGATGTCATCACCATGGATGACGATCGCGTCGACCTCGTCGTCGTAGATCTCCTCCACGGGCCGACCGGTCTTCTTGCTGAGTGTATCCTTGGTATCGCCGAGGATGAGGTTGATCTTGCGTGCGATCGCCTCCGCCGTCTTCGGGTGGTCGCCGGTGACCATCATCACCTTGATACCAGCGAGACGGAGGGTGCCGATGGCCTCGCGCACGCCGTGCTTGGGCGGGTCCTCGAGCGAGATCAGGCCGCAGAACGTATACTCAGTCGAGGGGTAGTTGCCATCGTTCTTCGAGAACTCGTGGTTGGCATCGTAGACTTCGCCGGGGAGGAGCTTCTGCGCGCACGCGATGACACGGTGTCCACGGACGCCATGTACTGTCGAAGGTAGTGTCAGCGACGCGCGAAACACAGCGCGCAGAGGTACCCACGTCGTACGCCTCGTCATACGCCGCCTTGAACTCGTCGTTGATCGGGAGCTCCTTGCCGTCCTGGAGGTACGTCGTGCACTTGGCGAGCACGCGCTCGGGCGCGCCCTTGATGTACGCGGTCAGGATCCCGGTCTTGTGCGGCTTCTCGAGGATGACGAGCGCCCACTTGTTGGACGAGTTGAACGGGATCTCGAACACGTGCGGGTGCGCCTTCTGGTACGCGTCGAAGTCGGGGATGTACTTGCCGGCGAAGCGGATGAGCCCGGTCTCGGTCGCGTCCCCGAGGATCTTGCGCTGGTCGAACGGCACGTCCGTCTTGTCGAACTTGACGTTCGAGTTGAGCGCCGCGATGTCCGTCATCTCGCGCATGCCCGGCGCGTCGAGCGCGAACGACTCGGTCTCCTCCGAGTCGTTGTTCGACTGGAAGGCGGAGAACATGCGCAGGCCGGACCACAGGTTCGTCACTGTCATCTGGTTGCGGGTGAGGGTCCCAGTCTTGTCGGTGGCGAGAAGAGTGAGCGACCCTGAAATGACGTCAGCTGTGGCGCACTTCCACTGTTAGGGCGGATTACGCACCGAGTGTCTCGACGCCCTGAAGGTCCTTCACCAAAACATTCTGAGCAGCCATGCGCTTCGCCGCGATGGACAACCTGCACGAAGGTTAGCGCAACGTCCAGACGCGAGCACTCAGCACTCACAGAAGTGTAACGACGGAAGGCAGACCCTCGGCACGAATGCCACAAGGATCGACACCGCGAATGTCACGTTTTGCTCTGCGTGGCCTTTGTAGGCAGTGGTGATACCGACGATGAAGAAGACGATGGCAAAGGCGATGGCGATTGCGGACACCATCATAACGAAGCGGCCACTGGCAACATCGTCAGTTGGAGACAGCGAGCAACAAAATGCACATGACTGACATCTCGGTGGCCAGGGGGCTCTTCTTGCCGGTTTCATTGCCAGTAAGCGCAGCGATTTGTCCTGAAAATCCGCATAAGCGTGAGACCTGGCGTGTCAGGTAGCAAAATATGCGCACCAATCAGGGTGTGGTCACCGGTGCGCACGACGACTGTTCCACGAACGTCAGACCTCATGCATGGAAGGCCAATCACGCCACATACCTCCCCACCCTTCACCGTTGACCACGAGTGTCGAGTTGAACAGCTGATGTCGAGAACGTCAACTTCAGGCGGCTGGATTGACGTGAGGCTTCACACGTACCAAGTTCTCAGCTTCGACGACACGAGAGTCGACGCCGTTGGGGCGTGCACAGCGCTCCTGGGGCTCGGACTCTCCCGTCAAACTCGAGTTGTCAATCTTCAAGTCCGACGCGGCGAAGAGAACCAAATCGGCGGGAGTCTTGTCGCCCGAGCGCTGAAACACGTACAAGCGCTTAGCGGATGGTCCAGAACCGGAGTCCAGACCTGTGTGTCCGGACACCATGGGACTTACCACCAGCACGAGGTCACCCTTAACCAATTCCGCAGCGGGAACCGTCGCAAGCGTTCCGTCGCGGACCACGCGACACGAGGGGGGAATCATGGCGAGGAAAGAAGCGAGGATGGCTTCCGACTTCTGGAGCTGGTAGAATTCGATGAGCGCGTTGAGGAACGCGACGCCTATCAGGATGCCGCCGAGATAAGTGTTGGCAAAGTTTTCCTGGGTCGGGGCACGTTAGTACGATTCGCATGGGTGCAATGCGAACTTACCTTGAAGTTGATGCCAAGCAGGATGTACTCCAGGATACCGGCGAGGATAAGCAGGATGTTGAACATCGTCATGAGGCAGTCGTAGTACTGTCCGTCACGACACATGAGTGAAGGATGCGGACATGGGTCACACAAAGATGCCGTACCTTCCGCAGCGCCGACTTCTTTTTGGGAGGCGTCAAGATGTTGGCGCCATCGCGCCCAAGCCGGGCTTTCGCCTCGTCTGCATTCAGTCCCGGGGACATCGCGGGCTGCTTCGGGTCGAAGGTGGTGTCGAGCGCGGCCTCGAGGTCCTTGAACGCGAGCTTGTGTTCGGTGATGTCCACATCGTCGAGCTTACCGTCGCCCTGCGCATCCGCCTTCGCCTGGTCGAGGTGCTCATAACCGGCCGCTGCGAGCTCCTTGTCCTCCTTTGTCATCTCCCTCTTCATCTCAACTCCCTTGGGGCGTAGGCCGTGGGGGGCCTTCTCGTCGACCTCGTCGCCATGTTCGGGTTCGAAAGCGACGGCGCGGGTCGCGACCGGGGCGTCGTCGTGGCGAGGCTCTTCCGTGGGGTCGTGGGCGTCCATGGCGCTACGCGAGGAGGGGGTCGCGTAGAGGAGGAAGAGGGAGCGGGAGCGGGAGGACGGAATGCGAGGCCCGAGGGATTTAAGGCGAAGCGGGGTCGCAGGGAGACTTCGGGCTCCGACGGACACGAAACGACCTCCAATTTTTGTCGAGACCGGAGCATCCCTATCGGAAGAACTCTGTCAACTGAGAATCGCACATGGGCAACCGTGATTGGACCACCCGAGCCTCGTTTGCGCAGACGAACGAACGGCCAAAACCCCTCAGGGCGCGGACGCATCATCACGTGACCTTTTCCGCGTCAACCTGAAGCAGCGCGCGCCTGGAGATTTTCTGCCACCATCCGCTCTGTCTCCTGCCCGCCGCCCACGCCATTCGCAATGGTTATTTCCGTAAGATCAGCCACCGCTGTCTCGGATTCCCGATTGCGACGCGGCGATCGCCATCCCCGACAATGTACTGTGTGGTCCGACTGCCACCTGTCACCAGGCACATTTTGCAACTGTCCGGGATTAGAGATTCTCGGAATAACTCTCATCGGGGTGCGCTCTAACCTGCTCTAACTCGCCGGTGCACGATAGGCAGGAGCCACGTAGTTGACTGGTATTAGCCAGCAGCGGGCTCCCACCCTCGACTCGAACTTTATCGATGCTTCTAGCACTCAAAAGACCCTGAAGATGGACGTACTAGCTGTTTTCCTCTAACCAGAAGCGGTCGATCAGGACCCAGGTGGGACCATCGTGACCCGGGCGAAGTACGGTCGTGAGATCTCGTTGTGGAAATCTGCGCACCAGACCAGGCGAGAACTGGATGTATGAGATGCAGAGATCAGTGTCCGGCGTCACCTCGATATTTACGTCCACGCTCACCTCGGTGTGGGGATGTGGATATTCGACACGGCTCACCCGAATACGCGAAGGGGCTATGTGGGCTAGAGAGATGATGGGGATCGGGAAGAAGGAGGGAGCTCCGCAGGATTTCCGCCGCACAACATCATCGACCTCACGCACTGACACATGCCTCGGAAAGGTCCCGCGAAGTGATGGCTCTCGTGAGAGAATTATCTCATACCAGAGTGTTCAGTGGGGCATTGGCGAACTACCCACATGCGTGTATCCGCTGTGATGCTACCACTAGAACTTGATTGGCAAGACACTTGATAGAGTAACAGAAAGCTTAAGCTTACACTTTAAGGCCCTCTATGTACCGCGTGACGCAGTACTTCGGCATGGCGCAGAAAACAGTAAGATGTCTGGTTCTTCTATATAATCAGCTCAGGACACATCTAAGGGACAAGTGCGCGCCTGACCTTCTTGCTGGCTGGGCGCTCATGAGTCATCGAGGGTGGGTCTGGGTGGGTGTGAGCAAATTGCATAACGGAGTTCACGAATAAGTCTGCAAAAATCTCTGCAGGAGTGGGTTGCCCGTCTAAGCACGGTGGAAAGCCTAGCAAGGGCGAGATGGTGAGTGAGCTGAAGCAAGTTCGCTGCCCCTCTTCTTCCGGTGTTGACTGACTCATGACGTGATGGAGACCCGAGGGTAGGGTTAGGGCTCAACCAGTCCACCTGAGCGGCTGAGCCTACGCAGCTTGTTCCTCTTCCACGACGATGCTCCTCTTCGCCCAATCATATCTCATATCACATCTCCCTGCAGAACCGTGAAAATTACCTCTTTTTTCTGCCATCTCGTTCTCTGCGTGTCGAACTCCTCTCCTCAGCTCCTCTTCTGTATTGACGGGCCGTCTTCAGCACTTGACCTGTGACGCACGGACAAGACAGTGTTCCTTGACGCGCATAAGCACTGCGCGTGCTTACTCTGTGCATTGGGCGAAGGTTCGTAACGAGAACGCAGCGAACGCCGAAATGAAGCCAAGGACCGGGGGAGAACAGCTTTCATAGGAAGCATTGGGTGCTAGGCTCAAGCTGGGCTCACAGGTGTGTGCCACGGCCGCTCTTGACCGACGCCTATTCAACACGGATTCTCAGGGAGGTGCACATGCGCGTACCATGGCAATACAGCCGCGGTGCTGCACATGACAGTGGCTCCAGTCCAGACTAGAGATGGACGCGCCGCGCGACCTTTCTGCCTCCGTCCGCTCGCAGTATGTCCGAATTGTATTCCCTTGCCTAGTTCTCTCCGTCTCGGCTGTGGGCTCTGGACGCCGTCGACCTCAACTCCACGGCGAGTGTGCCCCGACGGGCGGGGCGCACGACGGTCATGTGGTGGAGGAGCGAGACGGTCGCTGCAGTATAAATGGCGTCCGAACTCGCCCTGTGTCCAACAGTGCAAGTTCTACTTCGACTTCCCTCCTTGCAGCACACACTTTACACTCCTCGCTTTCGCCATGCAGTTCAAGATCGCCTCCCTCGCCCTCCTCGCCGCCTTCCTCGCCCCGACCGCCCTCGCCCACCCCGGTGCTCGCACCGACACCGTCCCCGTCACCTACGACAACACCTACGACAACCCCAGGGGCTCGCTCAACAGCGTCGCCTGCTCCAACGGCGTGAACGGGCTCGTCACCAAGGGCTACACCATCTTCGCCTCCCTCCCCAACTACCCCTACATCGGCGGCGGCTTCCCCGTCCCGGGCTGGAACAGCACGGAGTGCGGCTCGTGCTGGACGATCTACTACGAGGGCAAAAACATCAACGTCACCCTCGTCGACACCGCCGGACGCGGGTTCAACATCGCGGAGAAGGCCCTCAATGTGCTCACGAACGGGCGGGCGGCGCAGCTCGGGCGCATCGACGCGACGTTCGCCCGCGCGCCTGCTGAGGCGTGCGCTTGAAGGTGAGCCTGTGGGCCGTTCGCCAGGTCGGAAAATATTTGACTGATGCTTGCATAGGAACATCAGAGAATAATTGAAGAGGTTGATGGTCTTTTCGACCTAGGAACGTCCGGATTAAGGACATTGTGTCGGACTAATGGACTCAGATTGAATGTACCGATACTGTAACTGTTGAGGCTTACTGGACACAACGATGATGGTTATTCGCGATACTGTGATGTCTGTGACAGCAGACCGAAAGCTTTCTAGCTGCAGCGTGCTACACTCGTGCAGCAGGTTAAGTATTCTGACAGCTACTTTCTCGTGACTTCGCGGATCATCTTGAGAGACAAGGTCGGTTAGTTGTTGGCGGATATGAAGAGTACGCGCTGCTCACGATGTAAATATCCACCGGCGGTCCGTCCCACTCCGGGTTGTCTTCCGCAATCATCCCATGGGCGACGGTTACATAGCCCAGCGTGGCATAGAATCCGGAGGCGTCGGACGTCCTCACCCATACCGCCCGCTCTTCGGCGTCAGCCTCGATCACATGTCAGTCCTCGCGCCAATACTCTCGAGTTCGGCGAGCTGAGACTCACCAAATCGTTCAATGCCTTGACCAGCGCGCTCGCGTAGCCCCGGCCCTGCTTCTCGGGTGTTGTCTCGAGCATGATGAGCTCGAACATCTCCGCCTTCCTGTCCCCGACGCCCTCTGCCTCGAGCCGAGCGACCGCGTTGAGGTACTCTGTGTGCCTCTGCCGCCGCTCGACGATGTGAGCAGCGAATTCAAGCACGATGCGGTCAACGCACCTGTAAGACCTTCTTCGGCGTTAGTCCCCGCCGGAGCGGGTCCAAGAACTCGAGTATCTTGCTGTTGGGCGGTTCCTCGCCCGGCCGAGTGCTGTTCACACGCACTAGTCAGCCCTACCCAATCGCGAGATTCGTCACAGCGGCACAGCCAGTGTGCTCGGAGGGACGCACTAGCTCAGGTTAGCGTCGCCATGGTCTATTGTCCAGACCCGCCGCGCTCGCACTTTCGCGCAGAACTGGAGGAACGCGAAGAAGTAGTCGCGCGGGGCACGGACCCACTCATTGTCGACATCCTGCGGAACAGATGAGCATGGGCTTTCTGGTTCCAAGTTCGTGTGGCGCCACGACTTAAATACCTTAAAATATAGGAAGAGGGGGCCCGTAGCGTTCGCCTCGAACCAGCCGTGCACGGCCCGCCATACATCGGCTAGGTTGAATTCAGTCGGGGAGAGAGGAATCAGAGAGGATCTTTGAGTTGGATGGCGAATGCGCACACGACAACTTGTCTCTTACAGTAATTCAATGGGCAGATTCTCGGCGCACGGATGAGTGTCATCCCTCCTACCTTCAGCCTTCGAGAATCTGTCTAAGGCGGTGGCCTGCAGGGTTGAGTACCTTGTTTCCAATAGCATGCATCAGCAAAAGGTGTTTTCCACGGTAGCGCCCGATAGCACGCGACACCGCCATATCGGGACAGGTCGTCTATTGTCTGCACGACAAATGATGGTAGCAGAACGGCAGCAACTGACATTCATTCGTCTTTGCTATGAAATTTGATCGCATTTTGTGGCCGCATACAGGATATGGTGCATTTACTACCGGCACTAGTAGCTTAAACAGAAAGCTGTAGTCGATGATCGTCGATGATCATGCGCTCCTTCAAGGGTGAATATTTGAATCATGGGGCGCGTGGGGTGCATAAGAGGTTCGTATTGAGCTATACATTCGATTTGCAAGGACGCGAACAGTGTGCGCGGCAGAGAACGCGGTGGGCGCGAGGATGGATGGACGTCGGCGCGGGCGCCTGTTCAATCGCTTACGGGCCGCAGAGTCCTCAGCTGCCATCCGACGCCGGCAACGGCGAGTCCCACCTTGCCTCCTCCCATCCTCCTCTGTTCCCCCAGTTTGTTCTTGACGCTTCTTCTTTTTCGCTTCTCTGCGGCACCTCGTCGTGCTATGAAAATCCTCTTCTTCATCAGAATGTCTGCTTCTAAAGTGGGACACGCGATCCAAACGCGGAACATCGACTCGTGTCCTTGCTCATTTGAGCATTGTTTCCCATGAGGTGCGCATGTCATCTCCCCCTTGCGTTCCTTGAAGCGACACAGTCCCCAGACAGCGAGGCGGGAGCAAATAGTTCATTGCACATAGAACGAAGTCCTCACTCTCGGGGTGGCAGAATATGCGCGGGAGCAAAACCATGACACTCACCTGGAGGACCTCGACCTTCCGCACGACGCTCACATGCGAGTGCGAGCTCGTGAAATATACAGGAGAAATATGGCATCGCACGGCGGGGTCGTTTGGGCATCGCAACCTGGCTCGTCCTACGCCCAGCGCGTAGTCCGTGCTCGTGAGACCAGTGCGCATGGGTATTCCAAGGTGCGCTGGTCACCCCCTCTCATGGTGGACGTCTAAATCACACCGTGTCGGGCTATCTCGCTTGCCCTAGGTGCCCCGATAGGGCGGCCAAGTATACGCATGCGCCCGTTGTAGCCATGTGCGCTTCAGCAACGTCCAGGGTTCCTGGGGGGAGCGTGGTACGTCGATGCTTTTATCCGCTTCTGTACGTACCGCGAGCTATAGCGAGGTCGCACCTCGCCGTCACCGCGACGCTCGCTCAGGGCATGCCGCTTTTCATTCGCACACATGGTTATGTGGGCCATGTCCGACCGTAGAATCCCGCGCTCTTATCGAATGATGTGCGGGGTGAACACCTGTACGTCTATCCTCTGTGTTTCTACGTCCCTGATACCAGCCGCCAGACATGCTATTCAATGCACTCTTTGTTAAATTCCATTCTCTCCGCCAAGTCAGGCCTCTTCAAGCTCTCCCACTGGCAACCTGTAGGCATACAACACGTAATTGAAGCTGCTCAACAATGTCGATTTCGAGCTCGCCAAGCAGGTCGTCCAGAACGTCGGCGAGCCCGTCTCGACTCTCCTCTAAACCCGCGTGGCCCGACGCCGAACCCTCTTTCCGCGAAGCTCCCCCAGCTCGCCGCCTTCGCCCTCCGCGAGCCAACGATCAAACCACGCCGCATTGCAATTCTTGTCGTCGATGACTTCAACCCTGCGCGGGTTGACGGCACCTCCACTGCGCTCAAGGCCGAAATGGTGACCATGTGGATCGTCGGGCCATGCTGGAGGCCTGCGGGCGATGGCAGGAGCAAGCCTGCCTACTCCGCGGACCACCACTACGGGGATCAGCGAAGCGCTCTGTTCAACGCCATCGTCGTCGCGAGCAGCGCGGCAAACGCCCGCACTGGGCACTGGGCGAGGGCAGTGAGTAGGTAGAGAGTTAAGTCAAGATATATATCGCTGTGGAGACTTACTGATATGGAGGTCCGTGTTGGTAGCGACATTATGAAGTCCAAAGGAAGTTGCTTACGGTGATTTCTTGCTAATTGTTGTGACCCGATGCGGCGGCGTCACAGTGGCGTCCCGCTTTGACCTCCTCTCGGTTGTTCCGAGACATGGGCGCATGTGCGGGCATGCGCGCCTATTACTGGACTCAACCCGCGACCGTCATCATCCCCCAAGTGCGATGTGCCACTCACGCTCGCGCACGACCATGTATCAAGACGTGGTGAGTTCCTCATCATTCTCTGCTCCCAGCATCTGGTTCACCGTACTCACACTTCTATCGACATCGACATGGCTTTCAACACCCTCTCGTGGCAGACGTCGTCGCCCTCACGGCCGCCACTCTGCGCCCTAGGTTCCACCTCCACGAAGCCAACACGACCCCCCTCTCTCTACATTTCCGCATCTGCGGACTCGACACGAGTCACGACGTGTGGTTCGCAACGGGGTGAGCTCGGTGCACCTCCTGAACGCGAGGCTTCAAGTTATGGCGCTTATAGCGGCGGGTCGGTCACATGTGATGAGCCACCGTCCATACGAGGTGTGAACTTTGGTTAACATATCCCCTTCCGCCTCTTCTCCTCTTCAAACTGATTCCTCAGCCTTGCCGACAGTGTCACCGACTCAACGTTGCTTCCGTCGGTAACCACTGACCTATCACCAATTCGCGTGCCCTCGATCGACTCGCTGTACTCGCAAGCTGGGTAGTCTTGGCCCGGACCTCCTGCTCATCGCGCGCCCCGACATGATGTCAATCTCTCACGACTACGGCGTCTTCATCGAGGACGAGGGCATGATCGCCCTCCGCGGGCTCTTTCTCATCGACTCTATGAAGGTATCCTCAGGTGCGTCCGTAAAGTTGGAGCAACATACGTTCGACGGCTGATCGTGCGTTCGGTGGGGCTGGACAAGCAATCACGATCAATAACCTCCCAATCAACCGCTCGGTCGAGGAGACGATCCGGCTCGTGAAGGCGTTCCAGTTCACCCAGTGGATGCGTCTCTCTTCCTCCGCGTTCCCCATCGCCGCTCCCGCTGACCTCTCCTTCAGCCTCACACCCCCTTCCCCTCCCCCGTTTGCGACGCAGCCGCAGGAAGAGCATGGTGAGGAGTGAGGGAGCGAAGACAATGAAGACGCGAGCATCTACGCTCAAGGCGACCACCTCCCTGCCCCCAACCAATTAACCCTTTCGCGCCCATGGTGCCCGACCTGTCTATCCCGCCGCACTCAACCCACCTTTCTGCGCTCTCCACACTGATTCCTCTATCAGGTAAGCAATCTCTAGATGCGAATTCTCTACAGGCCGTTACTGACCACTTCGATAGTACTCACGATAGGGAACACTTCCTTCAATTCGGGAGATGTGCTGGTTGAGAGGCTTCAAGTACTCGGCTACATCACGATTCACCGACTACGTAAGTTCTTTGTTCTGCTAATGTGTGCGTTGTGTAGAATACCCGCTGTTTCATATTTACCCCAAATGGATTATTGCGCGATTGAACCATATATGTGTGATTAGATGCGAGCCCCAGTGTACGACGGAAGACGATAATCTTCCGCAGGGTGCTGTAGGTTCTCTGTCATCTCCTCCGCTAACTCTGACCTCTTATCGTGTAGCGCTATCATCTCATGCGCCACAGATGACCGATATACGGTCGCGCGCGCACTCAGACCTGATAGCCCTGCCCGCGAGAATCGATCATCAGTTGATAGCGGAAGAAGCAGACGGCCGTACAATACGGGATACTGCATTCTTTGGATACTAATCTACCTTCTATTGTCTTCGCTAGCACTAACTACCGTACGCTACAAATGCCCCAGTGCACGATCATACGCTATCGTTTCTGCACCTACTTTGCTGATGTGGTGCTTCGGAGCATTTTTATACTGCGCATCGGTTGCACTGGCGCGCGATGGCAGCCCTGAGCGCTTGAGTCGGTTAGCGATAAGATAAGCATACTTATCTCTAGTAAGTAGTCGCCATGGCATCACTGGCTTTGTCAGCAGCCTCGACGAGTCGCGTGGCAGGCCCAAGCCCGGTTGAATTCGAGTTCCACTGGTACTTGAACATCACTCATCAGCTCACTCAAGTGGCTCATCTACTGTCGGTCATGAAAAGAAAATCCCGCCGTCTGGAGCAGACTCCCCCTCAAATAAATGCGCGAAGACCATACGACGTGATAAAAAGGGATACCACCATGCTCGCGGGGTGGCACTCGGGTAGAGTCCCACGTAGTGTCAGGAAGATCTCTAACTGATCGCAGACGGTATTTGTAGTGACCGAAAGCTCAAGTCCTGGGGTCCATGCTTCAGAAGACTACAGCATCACCGTGTGAAGACTCCGGAAAGCTTCACACAGTCGGTCCATACTCCGCGCCCGTATTCCGCCTTCCGAACGAGATTATCACTGAGATTTTCGTATCGCCACTGAAGACAGAAAAAAGCTCGCGATACTGGATATACACGACGACACCGAAGATAGATGGGAAAGCGTTCGAATTCCTCGTCACTCTGACACGCGTCTGTCGAAGATGGCGTCAAGTCGCTCTTCAATTATCTGAGCTCTGGACACACGCCAGCCTCCCAGCACAGTACGGGCGATATCTACATTTCCAAGAGCTTTCACAGACAAGCCACTCTCTCTAGTAGTCCAGTTCCCCTGGACTGGTCGCGTCTCTGACTCTGATCGTGCGAAGAACCATTCCAGCACTTCCCGCGCCATCACAGCTGTCAGCTCTCGCCTTCGTCGCCTTGATGTTGAATTACCATCAATGGGGCATGCAGTTCCGTCGTGGCTGCTTGATATCAGAGTTCCCTGCCTAAAATCTCTCACCATTCTTTACGACGAACTGAAGGACAGCAACCTTATGGGCCGCGTCGTGGAACGCAAGATGCTTTTCGCGGACCAAGTTTCTCCTCTCGAAGGACTCGCACTCGTCAACATGTGCGGATGGCTTCCTGTCAACCACTTCCCCAACCTGACTCATCTCTTGCTGGCCCTCCCCTACGTTGTCGCCACGCCTTCTGTCCTCATTTCTGTTCTTCGGCAAACCCCTCGCCTACAGCATCTCCACCTGAAAAACCTCCGTCACTTTCGCCGAGACACAGTTGTGGAACCTCTTCCTATGGAGAGCCTGAAGTCGTTCGTCATCAGCGAGTCGTTCCTCGCAACCGCAGAAATTATCATGCCTTCCGACTCCCAGAGGCGCCTCCCTTCGCATGCCCAGGAGCAAACTCTGGCATACCAGCGCGTTTCAACTCAACGGCCTCCCCGCCGTCCGCGGCGCCACCGATCTCGACATCCGCGTGGCTACCTCCCTCGACTGGTGTCACGTCGCCCTCCAGACGGACCGCAGCGGGTTCTGGCTCGAAGGCACGCACAGCTTCGGAAGCGCCTCAACGTCCACCCGTGGATCCATTCCCTGTTCTCTCACCTCCACACCCAAATGCTCCTCACGAACGTCACCACCTTCACCCTCGACGTGCCCTACCTCGACCCGAAGATGTTCGTGCCGGTCCTGGACCATCTCCCCGTACTGGCCACCCTCAAGCTGCGCCTCTCCGCGATCGGGCCCACGGCTGCCCGAGGCCGTCGGGCGACATCCAGTCCGCGGGCCCGCCGCACGCGCTCGTCCAGATCCTCACTTCCGCGCTGCGACGCCCCGGCCAGCCAGTCTGCCCCGCGCTCCGCACTCTCGCGGTGAGCACGAATGTCGGCGGCAACGGCCCCCGTCTGTACAGTGGCAACGGCCTCCGTCTGTACGGCGAGAGCGACGACGGCGGCGACAGCGACGACAGCGACGACGGCAACGACAGCGACTACAGCGACGCGGAGGAGAAGGGGACCGCCTCAGCCATTAAGCTCGCGGTCGCTGAGTTTGGTGCCGCACTCGCGGAGCTGCTCATCGCGCGCAGGGATATGGGCGTGCCGCTCGAGCGGCTTGTCGTCCAGCCGCGGTGCCTGAAGCGCCGCTCAAAAAGGCGAATGCAACCACCACAGTGGGAGACGGAGGTGCCAAAGGAGCGGGCGCAGTTGGAATGCCTGCTGCGGCCGTTGGTGTCGCAGTACGAGTGGATGTCGTGCACGGAGGACATGTTCGGCGCGTTTGACGTGAGGGGGTTCTGGCATGTGGAAGAGGAGGAGAAGTACTGGGAGTTCTCGGCTGGGTTCGGTGAGTGCGAGTGTGTGTAATGACTTGACTCCCTGCACCATCATGTTCTCAGTACACGTCGTACGTCTGCCGGGTCGCTTGGCGCTTGCGGCAAAGTATAACTGGATGGATTTATTCTCATTCGCCCGAACAGCTAGCTATAGTGTCACGAAACGTCACGTCGGCATTGACGGAGCATCCTGTACACGCACACAAATAGTAGCAATCGGTCCAGACTGGTGCGATATGAGCGCTTCACCGCCAAGTGGCCGGTCAAAATCGCTCAGGTTAGATCGGGTTCCAAAACGGTCTGCGCTTCTGGTAAATCCTCTACGAGGTGTCCTCGATCCAGGCTACCTTCCGTAAGGTGTCCCCATTTTGTCTCTACCCTTTCCTCGCGGAACTCGGACTCCCAGCTCGTAAATCCAGCTCCCCGCATGTGAACATATTCCCGTTCCTCGTCGCTCTGCGCCGCACGAAGAACGACCGATCGCTTGCTGGCGAAGAGGCTGACGGTTGGGGGTCGAGATCCCATATGACTTCCACCTCTGTCGCGGTCCGGGTGATACACCCACTACGGACGTCAACTGTTTCGCACGTTATCCAGCTGCGCAGGGTCAACCAGCAGCGTCACGCGGGCAACCCCAAGCCAGGTTTTCGTGCTCCGCCCGGACGCTGGCTCCACAGGCACCTGTGCGCCCGTCAGCGAACATCGCCCGCTCAGTCGAGAGTGGCAGCACCCACCCGCCACTCACGAGGAGTGAGGTCCCCGCAGAAGAACGGCAGCCTGCCCCTGGCGTCCGCGTCCCAGGCCCGCTGATGAGCCACTTGAGCACCTTCCCGTCCTCTCGCACCCGCCCGCCGTTGCCTCGGGCTCGTACCGCACGTCGCTGCCCTCGGCCCCGCCCGCGAGTTGATCGTCGCGGATATGGAGGGGCTCCCGTCGTTGCCGAGGAAGCGAAGTCGATCCATCCGGGCTGCTTCTTGCCCCACGGGTGGTCGCTGTGCGGTGGTGGGGGCGAGGTGAAGTGCAGCAGCTCCAGATACGTCCTGTCGGGGAATATGACGAGGGCGTTGGCGGTGGCGCCGCCGGCGTGGGTCCCTCCTGGAGAAACGCTGTGATGACCATAGAATTAGCTGCACTCGGCCTTCGACAATAAACGCATGGTACGCACGTGAAACCAAGTTGGCGGAATGCTTCGACGCTGCGGGCAGCGTGCCCGGCGGGGTGAGGTGAACGATGTGGTCGAGGATCCTTGTAGAAACGGGAGACATCTTGCGGGCAGCGACAGGTAGAGGCCGAATCTGTGCATCTGGGTTTATATGCGTGCATATGCTTACCCGTTGGTCATAGACTATTAGAAGCGGCAGATTCGTCATTCGCTCGCAACGCGACGGTGTGACCGTTTGATCACGAGACTGTGACTCTCAAGACTGTGTTAACTAGCTGCAAGTACTGACGACGAAATCTCTGGCCTTTGCAAAACCGTGCTCCCCTCGCCTTCCTGCTCCTCCGTTCGCTCCGAAAAAACAAACAAGGTACCTCAGATAAATTCAAAACTGTATACCAAAGCCGATGGTGAATGAAGAGGGAACGGAGGAGCTACACCCCGCAGAAGTCGTTTTACGCATCCAGTAAAGGCCTAGTACACGCGCGGAATGAGAGAGACTCACAAACTAACAAGGAGCGAGAGCACGGACCATCAATGTCGTCCGCGACGAGAGCCACCGAACCCTCCACCTCCACCTCCACCGTGTCCATCCCTATACCCGCCTCCGCCCCGCCTCCGCCTCCACGGCCCCATCTCCGACCCCGTCCGCCCGCACTTCCACTCGCATTCCGCCCACCGTCGAAGCTATCCTCTGGCCCGCCGTGACCGAACATGTCCTCCTGCGACGGCAGAGGCCCGCTCTGCCTCCCCGCCACCGAAGCCGAAGCCGAGCCCGAAGCCGAGCCCGAGCCATCCACCCCACCGAACCCGGGGATGACATCGTCCGCGCAGTCCGCCGAGCCAAAGCCCCCGAGCCCAGGCAGCCCACCCGCCGCCGCCGGCGCGCCCGGGCCCGCCCCCGCCTTCGGCCCCTCCTCCTGCATCGCCCACCCCGGAGGCCCGTTCCCGAACCCGGGCACCATCGCCTCCTCGTCCTCGTCCTGGCCGACGTGTCGGTGACCTCCGGCGGCTTCTCGCCGCCCCCAGAGAACACCGAGGACGCGTCGCCGGGGCGCTCGCGGCACCAGAAGCGCGTCGTGTGGTCGTTCGAGGCGCTGACGAGGATGTGCCCGAGCGGGTGGTAGGTGAGCGCCCAGACGTTCGAGTCATGCGCCTGGGAGAGCGTCGCGCGGGGTCCGGGTTGGTGTGAGGCGTCTTGGGTCGCGGGGGGCTCGGAGGAGGAGGAGAGGTCCCAGTGGAGGATGGAGCCCTCGGAGCCGCCGGAGACTAGAACGGGGTGCACGGGGTGCCACGCCACGGCTGGGGTTGGACGAGTGAGCGCGGGGCTTGGAGCCGGGAGGGGACGACACTCACAGCAGACCTCCTTTTTGTGACCCTTGAGAAGGCGGAGCTCCTTCATGGTGCGGATGTCGAATACGCGGACGGTCTGGTCGCGCGACGCGCTGGCCACGAGCTCGCCATTGGGCGACCAGGCGAGAGCTTGTACGGTGTTTTGTGATAGTGGCTATATGCGCGTTAGCCGTGGAGAACAAAGCATGGAAGATGGACCCGCTCGTGACAACATGCTTCATTTATACGCGCAAAGGGAGGAGCACGGTACTTACAGGGTAGAGAGCACTGTTGCTGATCGAGGGTCCCAGAACTTGATCATGTTGTCTTTACTTCCAGAGACGAGCAAGCCCTTGCTCGGGTGCCACTCGACGCACTTGACGTCCCACCCGTGTCCTAATAGACACCGTTGGATATAGTTGACGGGCTTCAGAACCAAAACTCACCTGTCAACGTCCGCTCTGCCCTCTGCTCCTCGAACGACCACAACCGGATGGTAGAGTCGTCGCTGGCGGTCGCGAACCGCGTGTCGTCCGGACTGAAACTGAGCCCACGGATCGCTTCGCGGTGCCCCGTCCACTGCGTCAGGTTGTTCATGTTGGGCTGGAAGTACTTGATGACGCCGTTCTGGTCCGCGGACGCGAGGAACGCGCCCGAGTGCGAGAACTGCATCGTCCGGACGGCGGAGTCGTGGGCCTGCAGGATCGTCTCGAAGTTGAACGTGAGGCCGTTCCATAGCGTGAACTCCCCGCTGGTCGAGCCCGTCAGGATCCGCCTTGCTTCTGGTGTCCACTGCGAGGTGCGTGAGCGATGAGTGAAGGAAGTGGGACATTTCGCCACGCGACGTACCACCACGCAATTCACAGGACACCTGATCTTGTTGGTGGATGTATGCACGAACTTCGTGCACAGGGACGTTGAAGGGTTGTCAGGGTATGCTTTCGGGGGCAGGAGCTGCACACAAAATATATTGAGTTCGCGTTGTACTCCGTACACGCCCAAGATTCCACCCCTACGTCGATGATGTACGGCGGCGCCGGCCTCAGATGCGGCACGTACGTTCCGGTCGGCCGCATTTTGCGCAACTAGTGCCCGCAATCGTCAGAAGGCGGGACGCGAGCGCGCATATAGCACGAACTCACCAATGCCCATCTGCCCATGGATCCACCGTAGTCGACCGTCCTTCGCGGGCGCACCTTCTTCAGAGGCTTGCCGTCTGCCATTTGTCGCGCCATGTCCATCTCCAAGGCGCGTGGATCTTCTGGCGGCGCAGGATTTGGGACCTCTAGGTTGCGTTTTGGCTGCCATTCCATCTTCGAGGCGTCATGTTGTCGTGGTGGAAGAGCGTGTGTAGGGAGGAGAACGGGGAGGGAAGTCGTGCTGGCCATTGTGCGCAAATAGAAGGGGCATGCACTCCCAACAGGAAAGAGAGAGGAGCACGCGACGAGGCTGGACGCACAACAAGGCCAGGGGATGAGAGAGCGGGTGTCGGTCAGAGCGGTGAGACGCCCATTCCTGGGCCGCTTTGTTGCCATTAGCCACGAGGTAGTCGTGAGAGAGCGTCGAATACAACGATCCTTATCCTCCGATCTAAACGGTGCTATAATGGCTTTGCAAGTGGCTGGCAACAGAGTCAGCCTGCTCGGTGCCGCGTTCCGTCTCCTTGCTTCCGTACTACCACCATGTCCGACTACTCTGACCCTGGAAGCGACTACTACGACTCCGACGACGGCTCTGAGATTGCAGTACGCGACCGCTGTCCTGCGTCCCGCGGCTCGAGGTATTAATGACCGCCTTCTGGCAAGGATACGCATGATTCCGACTTTGATGATGACCCCATCCCTCCGACCAAGGCCAAGGAGAAGAGCCGCGATCCCGAGCATAAGAGTCTGTCCGTGCAGCAGCTGCAAGACCTAGTGGATAGCGACATCGCCCATGTCGCAAGCATAGTGGGGCTTGAGGTGCAGTGCTCCTCCCTCCCCCCTGTGCGTCCACTCACCCCTCCCCACGATCCAAACCACCGCGCGACTTCTACGTGACCGCTTCAGTCGCCTATAGCGTCCATCCTCCTCCGCCACTTCAACTGGAACACCGACCGGCTGATCGAGCGGTTCCTCGAGTCCGCCGACCGCGTCCTCGCCGACGCCGGCGAGCCCACCGACCCCCCGCAGCCGTCCGACGGCGCGGACGGCGGCGCCCGCCCCGCGAAGCGCATGCGGCTCTCGCCGTGCCCCCCGCCGTCCGAGTTCGCGTGCCCGGTGTGCTGCGACGACGCGCCCGCGGCGGCGTTCGCGCTCCGGTGCAAGCACGCGTTCTGCGCCGCGTGCTGGCAGGCGTACGCGACCGCGAAGGTCAAGGACGAGGGCCAGTGCACGTTCCGGTGCATGGCCGACGGCTGCCGCGCCGTCGTCGATTCGCCCGCGGTCGCGCGCCTGGTCGAGCCGGAGGTCAACGAGCGGTGAGTCGACGTTCTCCTCCCCTCGAGCCTCTGCGCCCCCGGTCCCCCGCCCTTTCCACGCCCCCGTCTGCGCATGGCCCGCCGACGGAGCGCTCCTCTCGCGTGCTGACCGCGCCGGTTCCCCGCGCAGGTACCACGAGCTCGTGCGGCAGGCGTACGTCGGCGCGCACCCCGGCCTCCGCTTCTGCCCGCACCCGGGCTGCACGGAGACGGTGGCGTGCGCGTCCGGGGGCGGCTCGTCGCTCGCGACGGAGGTGCCGACGGTGCGCTGCGGCGCGGGCCACGTCTTCTGCTTCGGGTGCGGGCTCGACTCGGACCACCGGCCGTGCGTGTGCGTGTTCGTGAAGGCGTGGGTCCGGAACGCGCGCGAGGACGCGGGGACGAGCCAGTGGATCAAGGCGAACACGCGCACGTGCCCCAAGTGCGAGAACAACATCGAGAAGAACGGCGGGTGCAAGTGCGTGCGCCCCTCCTCCCTCCCCGCTCCGCGAGCCGGCGTGTAGGAAAGCTGACGCGCAGGGGCGGCAGCCGGATCATGTGCCGGCACTGCAACTTCCAGTTCTGCTGGCTGTGCATGAAGAACTGGGACGTGCACGGGTACAACAACGCGGTGTGCAACGCGTGGAAGGAGCCGGACCCGGACGAGGCCAAGACGGCGGCGAAGGCGAACCTCGACAAGTGGCTCTTCTACTTCGACCGGTTCAACAACCACGAGATCTCCGCCCGGCTCGACGAGGAGCTCTGCGCGCGCACGGAGGAGAAGATGGTCGAGTGGCAGGAGACGAGCAAGATGTCGTGGATCGAGGTGCGCCTGCAGCCTCACATGGCGAGAGAGAGAGAGAGAGAGAGATCTGACTCGTGCGGCAGTCGACGTTCATGCGCGACGCGGTGGAGGAGCTGACGAAGTGCCGGGTGACGCTCAAGTGGTCGTACGCGATGGCGTACTTCCTCGCCGCGGGGAACAAGAAGCAGATCTTCGAGGACATCCAAGCGTGCGTGTGTCCCCCCGCGTGTGCCCCGCGTCGTGCGCCCCTCACGCCGCCGCAGCGATCTCGAGAAGGCGGTGGAAGACCTCTCGCAGCTCTCGAGGAGCAGGTGGAGGCGGACAGCGTCAAGACGCTCCGCCAGCGCATGCTGGACAAGACGGTACGCGGCTTCTCTGCCTCTTCACACCACGGTGTCAGCTGACGTCGCGTAGGTGTACGTTCGCGGCCGGCACGAGATCGTCCTGAAGGACACTGCGGAGGGCCTGGCGAAGGACGGTGGGAGTGGGTCGAGCCTGTTGACTGAACGCATGTTAGAAGTGCGGGCGCGGACGCCACCGCGCTCTGTATACGAAAATCGTTTTGGGTCGGTTTGTGACAACCATCGTACCTCTTGCGCTCCTCGCGCGCCTCCCGCGTGTGCGCTCGCTGAAACGACAGCATCCAGGCGCACCGCCACCCTCCTCACACGCGCCACCATCCATCCGGACCTTCATCGACGCATGCACACAGAAACTGACGCTTCCAACTTTCAACGTCTTTCAGATTCCCTCTGCAGACGGTAGATCGCACTGCCCCGTTCCTCCCCTCCACTCGGCGTCCGCACTCCACGCGCCCCTCCATTCCGACCCAAACTCGCCCCATTCCAGTGCCGTAACGGTGGCAACAGGTTTCGCTACCGTGTTCTCAGTTGGACGAGCGCTCCTGCGCCGGTGCGTTGCAAGCCAGTCTGACCGGACGTGCCCGCTTCAAAGATCTCAGCTGAGCAGGGGACCGCCGGGAAGCTGGTTTCGTCTCCAGTCTTCTCGGTCTCTCTGAACAGTGAAACGTCGTCGAGCGCACGCGCGGTGGTGTGAATTTGTTGTGACTGACCTGTTCTCGTTTGCCTGAGCCAGACGTACGGGGCGCGGGGGGGGCTCCGGATTGCACCTTTCCGCGGGAACAGTCCCCGTTGCATCGGCTGCGTCGCAGCGCTTCCCACAAACCGTATACGTCGTGGTTCGGCAGTTCGTGCGAATCGCAGCCGCAGGAGACGTCATGACTGCAGAGGACCGCACCATTCGATTCTCGAAGTTAGGATGAGTCAGGAGTGACATGTTCTCTGCACATCCACTCCACCCCTCGTTCTCGTTTTCCTGCCGGCGCTGACACAGCCGTTGACAGATCACATTCATATTCAGCCTCCGAGGAACGTGGGTGCGTCCCCCCTCCCCCGCTGACAAACCGGGCGAATAGACACCAGCAACGGATCCTTCGGCGCGCGCCGCGCGCCAGATAAGCCCCCTGCCGTCGGGCTGCGCCGAGCTTGATGCATGTACAGCAGAGTGCCCGAGCGGACGGAGATGCGTCTCGGAGATGCGGGAAGCACGGAACGGTCGGGCGCGCGGACCGATCCCCGTGGCCGCGCGCGGAGAGCGGCGTCGAAGGCGGCACGTTGTGCGCCGTGGCAGGCGCAGTGACGGACGGCGGACGGCGGACGGCGATGGGCACGATGGCCGAGATGGGGATGGTGGGCGGGCGAGACGGGGAGGATCGTCGAGACCGGCGCGCGTGGCCGGGGGTGTCGAGACGGGTGGTGTGTTCGCGAGGGCGGGGGTGGCGACGGCGGAATTCGGCGGGGGATGCGCGCGAGACATACAAGGGGAGCGTCGGCGCGTCGGCGCGTGTCTGCGGGCTGGAGACGGGCTCGGTCGCTGGCAACGCTGCTTCCCGGATCAGGATGGCGGGGAGGCGTCCCGGATGCGGCGAGGGACGATCGACTGAGATTGGGTACTGGCCTCGGACGTCGGGAGCGAGAGGCGGAATGGGAGCGTACGTAGAGGCGCCGGGGTCAGGTTAGGTAAGGAATGAGTACTACATATTGTCAAGATGATCAGCCTGCGTTGTCCGCTGGGAAGTCGCAGTGACTGCGGTTGGGTTGGGTTGGATGTCGATGAAGTGGCTGTGGAGAATCTTCGGCCGACGCAATCGTTCTCTGCTATGACGTCATGGATGATCGATGACTGCCACCGTCGTTCTGACGTAGGTCGGATCCTGAGCGCCAGACGTGCTCACGACCCTCGTTGTTGTGTGTCCAGGTTCGCTGAGGGAAATATCAATCATATAATCAAATCAGTCCATTCTTCAAGGGCTCTAGATTCTAGATCTTTGAAGGCCGCTTACCACATATCATACCTCGAATTCGCTTTCAATGTGTTGTAAGTAGGATAATCCCAGACTCGCAAGTTCGCTACACGGAAACCACGGACCGGGGACTACATACCACGCTCATGCACGGCGGAAGTGCTCCGCATGCGCCACATACCAACCATCGAGCCCAGCGACGGTCTAGATCCCTGGGCGCTGCTGGCCGCGTGGCCGAAATCAATGACTTCAACGTGCTCTAAACCACCTTTGCCTACCCTCGCGCCAAGTGCACACAAACGTGCACGATCACGACCTGACAAAAAGGGATTCACTCGGCTGGTCAACCGGTCATGAATCACCGAAGCTTAGAACGAAGGTACGGAGGCCGCGGCTTACCCACCGCCTGGAACCAGACCTTCGCGTTTGTCAGAGTCACCGTACTACCTCCCGAGTTCGATTCTCACAGATGCTCACCAGCACGACTGGGGGGAAGGAAGAGACTTGACCCGGTTTGGGCGGAGTGTACGCCTGGATCGTCAGATCGGACAGCGTGGGGCCGCGCGAGACAGAGGAGAGATCGGGTGCCTCGGCGCTCGTGCCCAACAGTGGAATGTCTGGGCTGGCGATTGGCCCGCCGCAAGCCGTCGAAATTAGATGGGCCATCGCGGATGTGGAAATGGAACGCTGGGTTGACGACCTGAGCTAGGGTCTTGCGCGGTCTCTGACGGCCTCCGGCGGCGGGCAACGGAAAGGTGTCCTCAAAGTCGCGCGATGCGCACTCTGAGTCTGACTGGGACACTCGGACGCCCGGTCGGGCTCGCGAAAAAACAGGGGGGAGATAAGGAGGACAAAGGACGATATCCAAGCGTCTTATTCAGCGGGAAGCAGACCCCGGACGCGTCGGAAGAGGGCGAAGACGCGAAGCCAGGCTGAGAACGGTGGCCGCGCTGCGGGATAGCTGTGGACCACTCGGCGGACTCGATAGGCTGCGGCCAGTCGGCGTGGGCGAAGACGAGAAGGGTGAACAGGCCGCAGCCTGGACCACGGCCGGGGACGCGCTGCAATTGATGCATCGCCCGCGTCCGACGCTGCAGGAGAGACGCCCACGTGCGCCCCAACGAACGCCTTGCCCGGGCTTATTTCCCGCCGTCTCTTGCTCTCGACCCCCACCTCCCTTCCCCCGAGCTGGTCGTCGACTGCCCCGAGGCCACCCCGCCCTGTGCTCCTCTCCAGGTCCGTACCCGTCCCCGACGCCGCCCAGTGCGTGCTCACCACTCTGCCCCAAACAGGACCTCCCGTCGCCCGCCCAGTCTCCGCCCAGACTACCGCGGCCTCTTCCTCGACGGTTTCTGGTCCGTGTCCCCACCCTCGTTTCCCTCCCCCACTGTGGCTGACATTCTTTCCGATCGCTCAGCCTTCTCCGTATACTCCTCCCCGCCCCCTCGCCCTCGGTGCCCTTTGCTCGCGTCCTGCGATCCTCTTTCCTCCTATAATTATCCTTTTGAGCCTCCCCCCTCCCTCTCCCCCCACGCTTCCAAACCACCGACCCGGCGTCCCCTCCTCTCTCCCCTCCACATAGAGCAGTAGGTCAGCTCTCCCGCCTCCGTCAGCCCCTCGTCAGCCCGCTCATTCCTATCCCCCCAGAATCAGATCCCAATGAGCACAGTGGTCAACACCTACATCGCCCCGATGGATTACTCCTACTCGCGGCACTCCAACCTCGCGGGCGCGCCCCTGCCCCGCATCCCCCGCAGGCCCTCTGCGTCCAGGTCAGTCATCATCGCTGCTGGCTCGACCTCCGCCCCTGCACCCCCACCCGTCAAGCGCGTCCTCTCCGCCGACCTCGTTGCCCCACAAGCAATCCTCGTCGTTCACCCCCGACGCCCCCACGCCCCGAGGCCAAGTCCGCCAACCCAGACGAGGCCTCCAGTTCGTCCAGCGGCTCCGACTCCAACTTTGTCCACATCCAGCCCCGCCAGAAGCGCGTCCGCGCCCCCAGGGTCCACCCCTTACGTTCACCCGAGGAGTCCACTCCCACGCCCGCCGTCCTTCACGCAAAGGCCCAGCAGGCGCAGAAGGGTGTCGCGTTCCCGGTGTCATCTGACGGTCCCTCCCATGACGAGACGACGCCTCGTGCTTCATCCGCCTCCCGGCATAACCTTCACATCGTCCTCGATACCCTCCGCCCGAAGCTCCCAGCGGCCTCTTCGTCCACCCTCGGGACCCCTCGTGTCGATGGCCCGCGGATAGTGTCTGCTCCCCAGCCTGGCGACGCCAGCGTGTCTCGCGATAAGACTGGCCGGCCACTCAAGTCCTCCCTCAAGTCTCGGAGACCCGCCGTCCGCGGCGACCTTTCAGTCGTCACCGGTCACCCCATCACCAAGAGCGAGCCCGCGACCCCGTCGACGAGCAAGAGCGTCCACTTCGACGCCAAGCTCGAGCACGTCAAGCTCTTCCTCGCGGAGCAGAAGCCGCTTGCGATCTCGCGCGAGGGATCGCCTACGGACACCAGTGCGTCGGAGAGCGACTTCCCTGGCTCCATCTACGGGAAGAAGGGCAAGGATGAGAGTACCCTCACCATGCGCGTCACCAACATGCCGGTGGTACCCCGCGCGGACGCTGATCTCGCTCTCGAGGGCCTCACCCTCGACGCCGACAACGCGCAGCTCGTGGGCCGCATCCGCGTGCGCAACATCGCGTTCGAGAAGTGGGTCGCCGTCCGCTTCACGGTCGACGACTGGCAGACGACGAGCGAAGTCACCGCGAAGTACCTCGACTCGATACCCGGCGGCGTCTTCGACCGCTTCTCGTTCACGATCCGGCTCGGGGACATGCTCGCGCGCATCGAGGAGAAGAAGATGTTCTTCGCCATCCGCTACAACGTCCTCGGCCGCGAGGTCTGGGACAACAACGCGGGCGCGAACTACCACGTCGTCTTCTCCAAGCTCGCGCGCCCGCGCCCGGCCACCCCGTCCGAGACGCCCCTCGGGTCCCTGAAGACGAAGCTCGAGGACGTCGCCAAGGGCTCCTCCGGCTCCGAGACCGTCGGCGCCTTCATGGCCAAGGCGGCGCCGTTCACCCTCGGGGCCTCCACCTCGCTCTCCTCCCGTTACGACTTCGCCGCGTCCCTCAAGGCGCCCTGGCCGCGCTCGACCCCGCCCGCGGCGGCGGACACGCCCACGAAGCCCGCGCACACCCGCACGTCCACGTACCCGAACCCCACGTTCGGCCGGCGCGGCAAGACCCCTCGTTGGACGACGCCGCCCCGGCCACCCCCGCACGGAACCAGGCGCTCGCACGCGGGTCCCCGCGCGCGCTCGAATCGAGCCCGTTCGAGCGCTCGCCGGTCCCGGTGCCGGCGTTCGCGGACGAGGAAGCGCTCGAGGACACGCCCGTGGCGGGGATGGCGCGCCGCCGCAACCACGCGCGCGGGTACTTTGACCTCGGGCTCGCGCCGTCGGGGAGCGCGGTGAAGATGACGCCGCCGACGTCGCCGGGCGAGGCGCTGCCGCCGACGCCGACGCGCGGGCTCTGGGTGCCGCCGCCGCCGGTGGACAGCGCGGAGAGCACGCCGAGCGTGTCGAGCGACAGCAACTGCAGCTCGGCGTCGTCGAGCCCGACGGAGGAGCTCGGGTTCGGGTTCGGGGCGCAGAGCCCGGTCGGCCCGAGCGACAGCTACAGCTCTTTCCTGGACAAGTGAGTCCGCCGCGCACGAGTCGCCCGTTCAGCGCTGACCGTCTGCGCGTAGGTACTGCTACTACACCGGCGGCAGCGAGTCGATGCTGGACGCCCTCGGCCAGGACCCGATCCAGCGCTCGCACTCGGCGTCGAGCGTCGAGGAGCTCCTGTCGATGTCCCCAGCGCGAGCTACATGCTCTCGCCCGGGCAGACGCCGACGCGCTCGAGCAGCGCCGACGACGTCGTGGGCATGCGCAGCGGGTCGACGACGCCGACGGCGTGCACGCCCGTGCCCGGCTTCGCCGTCGCGGCGGGACGCCCCGATCGCTGCGGCGTAGGGCGGTTTGCGTGCATCCCCGTTCTCGCCCGCCCGCTCGGTTTCGCGCGCCCCCACGGGCCACCCCACGGATCGGACCCATCCTCGAATTAGACGTCGGCGCCCCGCGCACAAAAGCATCGTACTCCCCCGGACGCTCCCCACCCTGCCCGTAATCCCCCACTTCCTGTATATCCGTTTCCTCGATCACGACCCCCTCGTCCTCTTCCTCTTCTCGGCCCGCCGTCGCTCGCACATTCTGTACATTCTTGCCCTTGCCGCTTCTCTTCGAACGACCGCGACGACGGCCTGGTTTGCATCGGATCCTTCACGCTTCACGCCCACCGGCTTCTCTCTTATCCTCTTTGGCTTCCTTATGACTTTTTATCGACCCCCGCGTCTGCGCGTTTGGTTATGCGCTCCGCCTCTTGTCCATTCCCACCCCCAACCCCGTCCCCTTCCGTGTTCCGTGTTCCGCCTTCCCCTACACGCATCGTCTCGTCTCCACGGTCCCCGGGTTTGAGTCCCCTGGCGCCGGATACACGCACATCTTCCCGTTCCCGTTCCCGTCTGTTGCATTCACGGATTCCGGATCCCCCTCCCCCTTCCATGGCCATGGCTTTTCACGCCTTCGATGTGTACGTGTACAGTACCCGCCGTGTCCCCACCGTCCCCGTCCCCGTCCCCGTTCCCCCCACCCCCATCCGCAATTTTTTGGTTCCCAGTCCTCATCCCTCGGCTGCGCGTACACGGCGGCCCCGCGCGTCTTGTCATGTCCCGTCCCGTCCCGTCTCGTCTCTTGTTCCCCCACCGCCTCCCGTCTCCCGTCTCTCGTCTCGATCGGTTTTAGACACGCACGCAGATACAGAAACGCACACATACATACCAACCGCACGTGGCGCGGTGCGGCGCGGACTGGACCCCCCGCCTCGCGCGCTACCACCACAGCTAGGGTTACGGCTACGGTTTACGAGCGCTCGGTCACGACTCGCAATGATTAGGTCGTTTTGGACTTTTTGAACGGGTTCTGTGCACTGTGTGTGAGAAAGAGTGTGCCGGTGTGCTCGTTGGAGTGCTGGACGCGTGTGGCCGGTGCGGTGGGCTTGCGTGACGTTGTGCGCAGCGCGAGCGAGCAAGTATGAGGTCCCGGTCAGCGGTGGTCTGCAGCTTTGACTTGAAGTTGCGCAACTTGTGCGGACAAGGGCGCTCTCCCGTCGGAGCGACTCGGCGCGCCCGCGGCCCGGCCCAGGCTCGGGCGACGGGTTTGTCACTCCGGAGTCCTGACGTTGCGCCCGCTCCTCTCTTCACCCCCCCACCTACCCCTCCACGCTCTCGCAAAAGTCCCGCCGCGGACCACCTCCCACCTAGATCTCGTGTTCTTGGGCCCGGAGTCGCATGATCTCGATGTTCTCCTCCGTGAGTACTACTGCAGCGCAGAAACGCGCGCGGGGGCTGCAGCTGACTCCTCCACTTCCCCCTCCTCCCTCGACCTCGACCTCGCGCCCCGCGCCCCTACACCTCGACGTCTCCCCTGCGCCCCGCGCCTTACGCCCCGCAGCTCTCCTCCTGGTGGTCCGGCTCCCCCGCGCCCGCGCCCGCGCCCGCGGCCCCGGGCAAGTACGACCCCACGGACCCGAAGCAGAACCCGCTCAACCCGGACGGCCTCAAACCGTGCGTCTCCTCCTCCTCTCTGATCCGCGCAGACGACGGCTGACGAGCGGGCGGGCGGGCGGGCGGTGGGGCCAGGTGCTGCGCGTGCCCGACGACGAAGGCGGCGCGGGACGACTGCTTCTTGCGGACGGACGGCGCGGAGGCGGACGAGCGCTGCCGGGAGCTCGTCGCGGCGCACGTCGCGTGCATGCGCGGGTACGGGTTCAAGGTCTAGCCTGGCCGGGCGCGCGGGGCCGGGTCGGACGGAGCGTGGTGTGGATCTAGATGGGATGGAGGAGCGTTGGTTTGGTGGGCGCGGGGCGCGTGCGCTGTGCTCTTCGTCGTCCGACTGGGTGTGTGCTACGCTGCAACTTACTTAATTCATAATCGTGCGCGCGTCGTCTTCCCCATTCCGTTTTGCGTGATGTCACACGCGTGAACGGCGTTGGAGATTTCATGCTTCCTGCCTCTCTGGAAGCTTGCACTGTACTCCTTCGTGTCACCGCTCCCCGCGTTTCTCTGCGTGATGTGGGGGTGATTGTTCTCTACCCCGTTCCGAAGCCTCCGCACCACTGATATCCGTCTATGGCAGTCGCAGCACCGGTCGGTTTTCCACCGCTCTCGCGCGGAGACCGCCGACGATACAAGCAGGGCAGGCCATGCGCGCCGCACTAGCACGGGCCTCGTGCGTCCAGCACCACACCCCAGAATGACATGTATTTGCTCCTCCGTCGACATCCACTTGGCCCAAACATTCTCGAGAGCAACCGTCACCACGATCATCCCCTCGTTCTCTGCCGCCCGCGGCATGGTCCGGCCATTCTTTCCTCACGCCTGCCGAGTTGGAATATGTCGAAGTACAGCGTCAGTCTCTCAGCCAACGCCACTGCGGAGGTACGTACGGCTTTTGGCAGCGAGGTCTCGGTCGGCCCTGCCTCGGCCCCGCGGTTATCGTTCCCAGCACCTGAAGGACACAAATTCGCAGTGTCCGCAGATCGCAGCCGATCCCTCTGCGTGCAGTGGCACTGACCCCTTCCTTCCGGCCTTTCCTGGAACAGGTCCAGGATCTCTTTGAGCTCTCCAGCAGGGATCCCTTTGGTTCCAGCGGCTTTGCCTTGAAACATCAGGGCCGTCAAGATCTTCGTCAGAAGCTTCTGCCTTTTCCGGTTCTCTGCCTCAAGGTCGGTTTCAGAACCGCGCTCGTGACCTGTCGAAGCTGAGGCTGAGCCACAGGTGAGTGCGTCAGTTCGAATCGCCCGCATGCGCGAGGAAAGGGGAGTGGTAATGACGTGAGTGTCCGGCCATGGGGGCTTGTTTCCTGGGGATGGACGCGAAACTTGGGGAGGGGAGGGGGATTTTATGGTCGAGAGTAGACGTGTATAACAAAGACGTTCGGAGGGTGTGCATCACCTTCGCGCGTCCATTGTGCCTCTCTTCCACGACACCGGGTGGCTCGCCTCGCTGCCGATGACGGGAGGTCCGCAAATCACAAAGATTGCGCAGCTATCGTCAAGCAGGGATCTACGGTAGCTCAAGAGCTGTAGGCGGAGGCCGGGGACATGCACCGAGTACTTCCATTGGTGCATTCATGAACTCCTCAATGTATTCCAATGAGCTCCGAGTCTGCATCACTGGTCAGTCCCCGGGCTTACTGAGAACGATCCATTGTTCACACGTCGTACAGCAATGCAGTCCCATACCAATTTCTACCCGCTAATGCCTGCCACCCATGCGACCTCACAGCCAGCCGCGCAGTGCGTAGTCGGCCAACATGTCCTTCACCATCTCCTCTTTGCTCCTGTACTTGACCATCCCCAGAATCTCTTGCGCAGGACGAGTGTCCGCCCGAATGAGGTACTCGGCACTCGGGTCGTAGGGACCTTCGAGGGGAAGCGCCTTGCTCGACTCCTTCGCCACGAGCAGCCCTTGTACCGACACATCAGCACCCGCAGCCACGGAAAGGCAGCAGAAAACCCACTGAAATCCTCCCATCTGAACGAGCCTTCCGCGACAAGGAACCGCTGGCCTCCCGCTGCGGGGGTGGTCGTGCTCAACAGCAGCGCCGTCGCGAGGTCGCGCGCGTCGATCCACGCGTGCCTGCAACCCCCGAGTCCTAGTCAGCAACCGTCCCCCGCCCCAAGACGTCCCAACCACTAGTACTCACGGCGCCCCGACCGGCTCCCCCCGAACACCGCCCGGTGCCAGTGCCTGTTCGACTCGTTCGTCGTCTCCGGGCCCCCGCGCACCTCGTGCACCACCGGCCCAAACACCCACGGCGGGTTCACGACCACAAGGTCCCACGCGCACGCTCCCCCGCCCTCCGCCTTCGCCTCCTCGTAGGCGGCCCACGCGGCGCGCTCCGCCGCGACCTTGCTCGCGCGGTACTTGTTCAGGCCCGTGCTCGCGGCCCCGCGCCGCGCGACCTCGCCCGGGTCGCCCTCGTTCCAGCACGCGCCGTCGTACACGCGCGCGCGCGCGTCCGGCCGGCCACGGGCACGCGCGGGTCGAGCACGGCGGCGAAGGAGGAGAGGAGGACGAGGCGGCGGACGGAGGGCGTGCGCGCGGCGGCGCGCGCGGCGGAGACGGTGCCGCGCTCGGCGGGGACGAGCATCTCCGCGGGCTCGACGGCGCCGAGGTGCACGGGGGAGGCGGTGTGCACGATCGCGCTGGTGCCGGCCGCGGCCGCGTCGAACGCGTCGTCCTGTGTGGACGGACGTCAGTGAGATGGGGAGGTGCAAAGTTTGGGGCGCACGAGGGTCATGTCGGGGACGAGGGCGATCTCGAATCGATCGCCGTATGTGCTGAAGACCTTCTTAAGGTGCTCGGCCTTTCGTTCCTCGCGGACTGTGCCTCGGACGGAAAACCCGGCGTCGAGGAAAGCTTTGACTGTCCAGGCAGATATATAGCCGTTCGCGCCGGTGATGAGGACCTTGCCCGAAGTGACTGCCGGCATTTTAAGAGGGATGTTGGGAAGTGGTTGCAGGTGTTGTTGGGTGATGGTCGGATGAAGTTGGCAGGAGTATGAGTTGGTCGTTTGCGTCGAGAGTGGCTTTTATACCGTGAGCCGTTCGACGGCGTACGAATGAAAACGGCACACGGGTCACGGCAATTCCATTCACACTCGGAGATAAGTAGGTAGCACACGCATTGTATTGCCATTCACCGGTTGGTACATGTCTTCTGCTTCGAATTTCCTCAGGTTATGCGAGGGTTCGCTCTGCAAAAAGCCTTAAGCGGGCTCAGCTAGGGATTGGAGGGGCTGCGAGACTTGGCACCGGAAGAGAGCCCTGAGGTTGGACGAATTATAAGCTGAAGAACTGGGTACGAGCGCGTGGACCGATCGTGGTCTCGTAGACGTCGCGGCTCGAAAAGCAGGAGTAGCTTGAACTTGAAGGGAGGAGTTGGCGGATTTGGTCGCCGGGACTCGAAGGTTGAAGGTTGGTCTAGAGAAGACTAGTCGGGACTCGGCTTTGTTCAAACTCCGTGACACTCCGGCCCGGTCAGGCTGGGGAGGGGCAGTCTGGGCTTCCTCCACCTCCACGGACTCCACGGATAGTTGTGACTGGAGGGTCCGAGTGGGCAGACATTACGGGCCGTTCGGACTCTATTTACGACACGTTAGGTGCTGCACAATCATCAGACGGTCGCTCGGCGCTGAAGAGTCCCAGAGGAGAGATTGATAACGGAGCTACAAAACCATTATGACAGCGGAATATTACACAAGTCCATGCGGGCCCAGATACAGCGTCACCTTTATACAGCCGGAAGGACATAACCATGAAAGAAAAAACGGAGACACCACGACTACCACGCGCACAAGAACGCCCGCTCGTCGACCTCGAGCAGCGGCACCCACTTGGACACGTACCCCACCACCTCGACGGCGCCGACGACGTAGATGTGCTCGAGCGAGATCTCGTTCGGCCCAACCGTCCACGCCGGCTCCTCGCACACGACGTGCTTCGCGTTCTGCCACGGGGCCCGGGTGAGCCGTGATCGCGCACACCAAAGAGAACTCGGGACGTACGGAAGTGCGCACCACCCAGTCGACCATCGCGCCGCACACCATGTCGAACAGGTCCGCGCGCGTGAACGCCCGCGCGCCCGCGCGGACGTGCGCCGGCATCGCGAGCATGTGCGTCCACGTCGCGTACCCCGGCCACTGTCGGGGTCGGTGCGCGTCCACGTCAGCGTTCACGCTTTCAAACGGAAGGACGAGGGGCGCGCGCGCGCACTCACGTGGCTCTGGAGGAGGACGCGCTCCGCGCCCTCGAACGCGCCGCCCGCGTCGAGCGGGTCGTGCGCGCCACGCAGCGCCCCGTGGCTCCGCCGCCGCGCCGCGAGCCGGTCCCACTGCGCGAGCGAGACCGCGCGGCGGGGCGCGCACTGCGGGGGCTGGAACGCGACGCGCTGCCCGAGCTGCGCGGCCGGGAACGGGAACGGGAGCGCGATGCGCTCGCCGGCGCCGGCGCTCATCGGGGGCGGGGCCGCCTTTGATGCGGTCGTTGGGAAGCGGACGGGGTGGCGTGCGTACTTGGAGAGGAGGGAGGGAGGCGCGGACACGGACGGCAGGTCGAAGGGGCTCGCGGGGCGTGAGGCGGGGTCGAGGTCGGACGCGGTGCCGTCCGAGTCGGGGAAGAAGGGGGAGGAGCGCGAGGAGGAGGGGTTGCTGGAGAAGTCGAAGGGGCTGGCGCGCCCGAGGGCGTGCAGCGTGTACGCGTTGAGAGTGCGCCGCAGGAAAAGGTGTTCCTCCTTCGCCACCACCGTCGACGCGTCCTGCGGGTCGTTGAGGGCGAAAGGCGAGATGCATCTTTCAGCGTATCCGCGGTGGAGAGACGACGGGGTGTAAGAGGTGGAGATTTGCTCCATGGTGTGTGGGTGGCGGTGGTATGTGGATGAGACACTACCTGTAGGTGGGGGTACAAAGGCGAGTGGCGGGGATGGTAACTTGGAGCAGTGACTGGAGCAGACGTGGAGGTGTGAAGCTGTAGAGGATCGGCTCTACTTGTACCGCGCAGAGCTTAAGCGATGAAGTGTGGCCCGGAAAGAGTGAGCAAGGGCCTTGCAGGTGGTCCTTGTCGGAGGAGGAGAAGAAGGTTCAAGCGCTCGAGCACAGAACAAACACTTGTGCCGCCACGTGGGCGCCAATACCACAGTGGGCTGGAAGACGGCAACGTGTCAGTGACCTTCCTCACACGAGACGGCTGGAAGCAGCAACAACAGCAGCCTGCATACAAAAACGTCGCAGACGACGGAATAGTCCGAACAACACCCACTTAGGACACGTCCCTCCTCGACGCGCTCACAGCAGCATCTGTACAAGCACAGCGACCACTCCGAGCAGCGCCGCGACCATCGCCCACACCCACGCCGGCGTCCCCACCGGCCCCAGCGCGACCGTGTCGAGCAGGGCGGCCTCCATGTCGCGCGCCATCGCCTCCATCCCGAACCGCGCCCGCGCCCGCCGCCGCGCGTTCTCCGCCAGCCGCACGCGCTCCGCCTGGGGCAGCGAGATGACCGCCGAGAGCGTCTCGGCCCAGACGGACGGCTCCGGGCGGCGGAGCCAGCCCGTCTTCTCGGACTCGGGGCTCTCGACGACGGACTCGGTCGGCCCGCCGCTGTCGCAGGCGAGGATCGGGAGGCCGCAGGCCATGCCTCGACGGGCACGATGCCAAAGTGCTCGTTCGCGGGGGTGTAGAGGAGGACGAGGGTGGATGGGGCGGTGAGGAGGGCGGAGCGCTGCGCACTGGAGAAGTTGAGGAGGAACAACACGTTGGCGGAGCCGTTCGTGGCGGCGGTGGACAGCGCAGGAAGGGTGGGGAGGGGGACACTCGAGGTCGAAGGGGTGACGACGACGTAGGTGAGCACGTGTGAGGTCGTGAGGGACAAGAGAGACTCTAGGGTGTCCACGTTGTCTTTTAAGCGGGGATCATACCCTCCTGGGGAGACGATGAGCGCACTCTTCGCCAAGCCCACGAATGACAACCCACCTGCAAGGACCAGTCGTACATTCGACAAGACGCGACTGCTCTGCGCAATCTGTTTTCGCAGTTGCGCAAAAGCTTCAATTGCAAGGGCGGCATTCTTCTTGGCCTCGAACCGGTTCAACGAGAGCAGAGTTGGACGGTCCCTGGAAGGGTGTTTATGTCAATGCAAGCGATAGCATACCAAGAGACGGACGTACGACATGGCTTGAGCCATGTCGGGTCGTTTTGAGAGATTTTTGGAGGTTTATACATCTCAATATTGATACCTGGGTAAACAACACGCGGCGTCACTCTGATGGAGGGCATGTGCCGTCTGAACACGCCCGCTGTGAAGCGCGAGTTGGCCAGGATAGTGTCCGCCTGCTCTGGACCAGTATCAGCATGAATTCAGGCGCGAAGACAACGAAACGACCGGCGTACTTGTGGTCGTTTCCTCCACAAAATCCATAGGAAGTCGATATATGCGCTTCAGCAGACTGCCACGTGGCCTTGTTCGCCCTTCCACGTATGCGCCATCCGCGAGTAGCTTGTCCGGGAAGTGGCAGTAGAACAACACGCGCGTGCGTCCAAACGTGCGAAGAAGAGGGACGCATGTCGAAAGCTGATCGACAAAATACACGTCGTACTTCGGCGCCCCGGGCGCGAGGAGATGGAGGGTGAGGTGGAGTTGGCGGGCGTGGGCGAAGACGATGTGCAGCTTGCCTTGGATTGCACGGGGGAAGGGTGGGACAACGTAGTGGACACGAAGAGTGCCTGTGGACGTACTGTTGCAGCCCTACACCGATTTATGAGGCATGAACCCTACCATCGCGGGTCTCCTCAAAGCAATGTCCGGGATCGTGGTGGGAGGTGTAAATGTCGACGCTATGACCGAGCTTTTGAAGTCCGAGCGCGGCATCCACTATCAAGCGTTCCGCTCCTCCTAGAAATACGTTTAGAAATTAGGGTTGCACGCAAACAAGACCGCGATTGAAGCTCACCGATGCCCAGGTCGGGGTGTACAAATGCAATCTTGAGCTTCTTGGACGCCATCACTGAGCCCACTTGCTACGGTTTGAAAAGGCCCTTGTGGTATTCTATGTGTTCAATGTCGTATCAAGGATAGTGGCCGCTTGTGCTCATTCGAAGTTCAAAATATTGAAGCGTATGGGGAGAGAGAGGGAGGACGCTCCTAGAGTCTCCAGCAACTGCGACGGCCACCGTGCCAGTGGCCCGGCCGGCCACCCGGGCCGCCAGGCCGAGCGTTGTGCCAAGCGAGACAGATCTGTTCCTCTTGATCTTGTTCCTCCACGTTCTCTGCAGCTTCACACTTTGAAACCTCCCTGTCGTCCGGTCTCGGAAATGAAGCACCTATGTCGATCTAACCAACTTCACAGTGCCCAGCTCGATGCACCACAAGCCCGTAATAGGCTAGTCGGATTCTGCCGTCAATCTGCCACACTTCGCCGTAGCCGTGGCCTAGGGCCCTTTGTCTACTTGCTTTGACCACACCCGCACTGGTCCGTATCTAAAGACATGAAGATGCTACTACTGCTCTGCTGCAAGCCTTCTGTTCCCATCATCATCCTCCGTGCATCCCACGTCTCTTCGGCTCTCAATGGCGTCTCGAAGCCAAAACCGCCCAACCCCATGGCTACTCCGAAAGCTCAACTTCGTGCCATCTTGGATGAACGAACGCGCAAGGAACCGTCGGCCTCGCAGAGTCGAGCGCCGTCCAGAGGCGTGCTCTCCCCCTTCGTACGCTCACTTGCCACTTGCCGATCCCGCGATCCACCCGCACCGTAATGTGCTGCATTCCGAGGCACTATGGGTCATCTTCCGGATGGAAGGAGACGACGCCATTCTCGCGCCCATCCCACCTCCACCTCCCCGCAAGGACGCCCTCCCGTCGGGCCAGGTCCTGAACCCTGCGCACTACCACTCCTTCTGGCGGACGCTCCCGCCCCACCTCCTTTCGGGTCCCAATCACGCCCGGGATACCCGGCGTACATCCCAGAGGGATCTCCTGCCCGACGAGCTCGTGCAAGTCCCGATGGCCCTGTTCCCCACATCAGCCGAGCAGACCTTCGAGGTCCGCCGGTTCCTCGCAGTCTGGTGGGTGAACGCGCACGGGATGCCGCTCGCCGAGTGGGCCAGGGACGACATCCCGCTGAACGAGCGCTTCTGAGCGGGGAGGACGCCGATCCATCATCGATCCGTCGTGGAGTACTCGGTATGTGGCCGCCCATCGCTGCGACGGATTCTCGTTGACCGACCACAGTGGCCGGGGTACAACATGGTTCCACCCAGACGCTCGAAGGCTCGTTCACTATCGGCGAGCTGACGTCGGTGATCGCGACTTCGCTCAACCACTGGATCGCATATGCCTCGGTGAGTGGCATCTTCCGCCGAGAACGCCACTTGCTGACCGGAGATCCTCAGAACCTGCCTGCGGAGACCTGCTGGGCACCTCACTGGAGAGTCGGCCGCAAAGGCATCAGACTGGAGGATGTGTTCCTCATGCACCTCGCGGAGGTAGAAGTTGATCAGACGCATACGGTATGGATGCCGCTGTTGGAGGTCGCGGCCGATTCGGGACGATAGATGTGCGGAGATGTGTCTAGCTCTCTGTACACGTATCATACATGACACATAAAACGCACCCAGACAAGGTGTTAATGAGCCTGCGAACTCTGAGAAATCTCACTTTCGAAGGTGTCGCAGAAGCGCGCATTCTCAGATCATATATGGTGTCTGGACTCGGAAGCCTCGGCTTGATCCACGACCACCATCCCGATTTCCCTTCCAGCTATCCTTCCCCACTCTGCAACTCCTCCTATAATGCATTTTACATCCTCAGCTGGGAGTTCGTCCTCCACCCACGACTTCGCTGCCGCGAACAAAACGCACTTCGACGCACGAGCCACGGCGGCCCACGGCGACGACCCACACGACTCGCCCGCCCATCCCGAGAACACGGAGCGAGCGCGGCGGACGGTGAATGCGATGCGGCAGTGGTGGCCGGAGCTCTTCGACGAGGACCGGACGGAGGCGATGGACTACGCGTGCGGACTGGTGCGTCTTCCTGTGTCCTCTTCGTCTCTGCTCCTCGTCTATCGTGTCTCATGCTCCCTGTCCTCCCGCCGCGCTGCCGGCAGGCGCAGTCTCGCAGAGCTCTGCCAGCACGTCAAGAGCGTCCTCGGCGTCGACATCAGCCAGGCCGCCGTCGACCGCTACAACGCCCGCGCGTCCGACCAGGGCCTCGCCCCCGACGAGGTCCGCGCCGTGTGCGCGGAGCTCACCCTCACCGGGACCCCAGCCGAGCTCGCCCGCGCGTCCTTCGACCTGATCGTGGTGAGTCTGCTGCTTGCCTGACTGCCATGCGCACGCACTCGAGCTCGAGTGCCCTCTCTCCCCCCCCCTCCCCCGTTCGCCCGCAGTGCTGCGCGTCGTACCACCACTTCCCCTCGATCGCGGATACGACGCGCGTGCTCGCGGCGCACCTCGCGCCCGGGGGCGCGCTGCTCGTCGCGGACGTCCTCGCTGCGCCGGACGGGCGCGAGATCTTCCCGCGGCGCACCACCACATTGTCGCGCACAAGCACGGCTTAACGGAGGGGGACGTGCGCGCGGCGTTTGAGGACGCGGGGCTGGTGGGGTGGAGGTGCGGAGTGCGTTTGCGGCGCGGATGCGCGCGACGGGGGAGAGCACGCGGTGGTTCATCGCGAAGGGCTTGAAGGGATCTTAGAGGGCGTAGAATTTGGAGAGAGGTTGTCATTTGGGCACGTTCTGTAAGTGTCTACTTAGTCTCCCTGCTTCAAATTTCGCTACCGTTGCCCCAATTCGACACCACATATTTCCGTGCGGTACATGCATCCACGGACGACAAACGTGCACCGCCCGGCCCCTACCCATCGAGCGGCTTCACCCCCCTCGCGACGAACCACACGATCGGGGGCCCGTCCTCCCCAAAGTACTGCGGCATCCGCTCGCTCACCGCGTCCCGCAGCTCGAACGCGCCGAGCCCCGCGCCCACGAACGCCGCGCGCAGCGCGTCCTCCGCGATCCCGTGCGCCTGCGGGACGACCGCCGCGAGCGCGTCCGGGAAGAGGCGGCGCGCGTCGGGCGCGGCCTTGATGTCCGCGACGAGCAGCGCGCCCCGGGCGCGAGGTGCGCCGCGAGCATGCGCGTCGTGTCCGCGATCGAGGGGAAGTGGTGGTACGACGCGCAGCACTGTCGCAAGCGGGGGTGTGAGCACGCGAGAGCAGGGATAGAGAGGAAGGAAGCGCACCACGATGAGGTCGAAGAGCGCGCCGCCGAGCTCCCCGGGCGCGCCCGTGAGCTCGAGGTGCTCCGCGCGCATCTTCTCCGGGGCGAGCTCGAGCGAGCGCGCGAGCGCGTTGTACCGCTCGACGGACCGCTGGCTGATGTCGACCCCCACCACGCTCTGGACGTGCGGGTGCAGGTTCTGGGAGATGAGACCTGTGAACCCCGCCCCGCCGCCGCTCACGTCAGCCTCGCGCAATACCGACAACTTGACGGTGACACGACCCGACGCACCGATCCCGCAGGCAAAGTCGAGCGCGCGGGTGCGCGCGGGGTCGAAGAGCTCGGGCCAGTCGGTGCGCATCTTGGTGACCACCTTTTCCGCCATCGCGGGCCAGTGCGGGTGCTCGGTCTCGACGTGGTCCGCCTGCTCGTCGAAGTAGGCGGCGTTGGCGGCCGTGAAGTCGTGCTCCCCGTGCGCGTGCGCGTGCGGTTGAGAGTGGGAGTGAGAGTGGAGTGGGATTCGTGGGGTGGGAGTGGGAGTGAGACATTTGTGTTCTTGGGTGCGCGGTGTGGGTTTGGCGGGTGGGCTCGGGGACGTTGTGTGGGCTAGAGTTTGTGCTCGCTTGAAGGCCGTTATATAGCCCTATGTTGGCCACTCCGCGCGGAACAGGAAGGAGAGGAGGGGACGCGCCTCGGGCCGCGCCCGCCGCCAGCCTCGGAGCGACGCCCCCGCGGGCGTGTGTGCGTCCGCGACTGGGAGGGTACCCGCTTGCCACAGCAGCATAGCCCGACGTAGCCAGACACATCTGGGCAGCATACGCAGGTGGTGCATGGACTAGAATGTGTCGTAGCTTGCTACATGTTCGGGAAGCTAGAGATGCCTGCTACCCGTACACGCCCCTACTTCACGAGTCTCTAGGACGTGTTGGTGTTGCCTCCGCCGCTACCGTAGGTGGCGCTCGAGGAGTGCAGACAGTGTATGGAACGTTTCAAATTCATATTATATATTCGCATTCGCTCAGTACGCAAGTATAGTCAACCTGAGTGTATTTGGGAGGTCGACCGAAAAGGCAGAATGTGTAGGACGATACGCACTTGATTAGCGTACCCTTGCGCCACGTAACTACGTGGCATTCGACCGCGACAGTACTCTCACCTCGGGAGTCGGGACATTCCAGTTACCTCCGGGCGGAGCGTGCTCCCGAGGTCGGAGGAAGGTTATTTTCGGTACCTGAAGACTTGATCAATCAGTACTGTTCTCGCTTTCGGCTTGCTTGTCAGCCACTTTCTTCGTGAACATGGCAGCACCTGCTTGGCCGAAGCAGCGTGAGGGGGTCGGATGACGGAGCAAATATGATATAGGATTAAAGAGAAGCAAACAGTGCGTTAGCGGTACACATCCATGTATGGGGACAGTAAATATGCATCGATACATGCGAACGGCGGCGGCGAAAGGCGATACAACGGGGCGGTGTTCAGCACGCACAGCCGCCAGAATCCTCTTCTTGATTGAGACTCCGTCCAGGGGTAACGGTCGAGGACTTGTCCGCAGCTTCGCCAGGCTGCTGGCTGTCGACACTGGAAACGGGGAGGTGGATCAGGGTGGCTCACGGAGAAGGAACAGAAGACTCCATACTCGTCTTTGATAGTCTTGGCCATCATGCTGAACGCCTCATCGACGTTCGTCGAGTTTTTGGCCGAGGTCTCGATGAACGGTATTGACAGCTGGTCCGCGAACTCCTGCACAACCCCAGGCATGCGTCTTGAGCGCGCCATGCTCGCGTGAGAACAAGGGACGCACGACGCACCTTTGCCATCGAGTACTCGACGACCTTTTTCTCGACGAGGTCGGACTTGTTGCCGATGATGAGCTTCTTGACGCCCTCGGACGCGTAGCGGTCGATCTCCTGCAGCCAGCCCTTGACGTTCGAGAACGTCTCTACGCGCAGACACGTCCAGTTAGTCGCCGGCGTCGTGTCAGGGGTCACGCGCGCACCTCCGTCGGTGACATCATACACCATGATGATGCCGTGCGCGCCGCGGTAGTACGCGGCCGCGATGGTGCGGAAGCGTTCTTGACCCGCGGTGTCCCACTGCACGAGATAGCCGGGTCAGAGAGTGTAGGAAAGCATAAGAGGGGACGCCAGGGTTGAACTGGTGCTCGTGCGGAGGGGTGGGCGTTGCACGAGGCAGAAGCGAACGGCCACTCACGATCTGCAGTTTGATCGTCTTTCCCTCGAGCTCGATGGTCCGGATTTTGAAATCAACGCCAATGGTGCTCAGATAGCTGTCCGTGAACGCGTCCTCCGCGAACCGCAGGAGCAGGCATGACTGCAAGCGATGGTCAGTCGCTGAGATCGATGTGTTGGCAGTCCGCAGTCCGCAGGACGCGCGTATACGCACCTTGCCCACGCCCGAGTCGCCAATGAGAAGGAGCTTGAAGAGGTAGTCGTAGCCTTCGGGCATTGTTCGCCGTCAGTCTGTGCGACAGTCAGAGGGTGCCCGAAAGGTGGATGGTGTTGAAGAGACGGGCGCGGTGGGAAATGAGCGGAGGGGGGAGGGCACAGCCTATGCTGGCGGTGCGCTCGCGGTCGGTGTTGAAAGCAGCGGAGGCGTGATTGGGTCGGCTAGCGGAGAGGCTGACACCGCATGAAACCGCGGATTTCCCAAGGTGGGGAATGTGCGCGGAATGAGCAAATTCCCGGCAAGTTCCTCGCGACTTTCACGCAGATTCCCCCGGGTTGGGAATTCTCACTTGGTTTCCCCCTTCCACACATATTCCCCTTTCATTCCAATCACATTCCTCACGTATTCCTTCAAAGTGGAATCTAGACCCCGTGAGGGTCACGTATATATTGGGCCATGCATTAATTAGGGGATAATCATCAGGCGTCTGTCGCGTCGCGCGCGCGCGCCTTCGCGCTCTCGATGCGCGCGCGCCGGGTGCAGACCCGCGCTTCGACTTCAGTATTCGTTCGCGCGGCATTGCGGATCGTGGCTGGACAGGCTGTTGAGTATGTACGCATAAGGCCTGAATAATTCATGTATCCTTGGGAACAGCGCTCGCATCGAGGAAAGACAGGATGCCATATCTCTGCGCGAGGAGCGAGACAAGCCCGCGCTGGCCTCGTATCTGGCCTGTCCGGTACGTTCTCCAACTTGCCCCCGCACATCGCGCTTCGTTTCCCCCTCGATCCCCGCGTCGGCTGTGCTGCGCCATGTCTGAAGACGGCTCCGGCCCTAGCGGGAGCGGCAGGAACTTCACTGGCACAGATCTCCCTCAAACGGGACTTCACATCAGTAATTCTGCACAGCTTCTGGAGACCTTCAGATCCTTGGCGTCCTAATTCAAGGGTTTCCAGGACTGGTCAGGACACCTGGAAACCTGACGGGCGGTGTGCACCAACGGTGGGCAAACAACTGTGCCTTCTTCGGACGGGCCAGGCTCGTGTAATTACTATGATTATTCGCAGTTATCTACATACTAGGATTCACTTCTGGGCGGTTGTCACGCTCATGGCCTCACCTGCGCAACACGGCGTCGTGCTTCCACATCGCGCACTTCGAGAGTTGTCTGTCCGACACGAGGTCACGACGGCGAGCACCGCATTCGTGACCGCAACGACGACGACCTTGGTGGACACAGGCGCACTGATCTCCGGGCAGACCTTGTCCGCGCTCGCCGGGCGCGCCACAAGGAGGATGAGGGAGTCCGCGACCAAGTTCAATCCAAGGGCGTGGGGGCAGAAGACCAATGTGCGACGGGCGGACGAGACAGCGAGACAGCGAGTGAGGCGTCCAACTGCAACAACCTGCGTCGTCCACCCTCCAGGATTGCGACGCGCACCCCCAGAGAAGCTCCACCTCCAGCCTGCAAATGGTATGTTATGTGGGCGCGGCGATGGGGATGTCGCGTCCGTGGCGGTCGTGTTGACCATGCTCGCTGCACTCGAGCCACTGTCGATCCCAGCGCCGAGCCCGACGCACAGCGCGTTTGTGGCGGGGATGTTGCCGCAGAGTATCGAGACGTGGAGCGTTCACTTGGTGGAGGGCGAGGGGCAGACTCAGCGTCATCCTCGACGAACGGGACGGCCACGAGCAGCCAGCGCGCACCGCGTCCGCCCTCCAGCTCTAGTGGTGCGTCGGCACGACAACGCTCGCACCTGTCGTGTTCACCATCGTCCGCCGCAGGTTCTGGCGCCGCTACGGGCGTGCCGAGCTCTCCGACCGCACGGGCGAGTGGGCGCGCGGGTCGAGGATGACGCGGGCATGCGGGTCGAGGACAGCACAGGCGCGGGTGAGTGGAGGAGAGCAGGGCAGTGGCGTGGGTGAAGGACGAGGCAGCCGTATGCCACTGGTTCCAGGACGGCGAGCGCGCGCAGGTCAAGGACAGCGTGGCCGTGTGGCTTGAGGACGGCGGAGTGGCGCGGGTCAAGGGCGGCGCGGAGGTGCACGGCGAGGGAGACGTCTGGCTGTTGGGGGTGGCGCTGTCGATCTCGGCGTTGGTGGAGAAGTGGGGGAAGCGTGGGCACTGGTGCAGAGTGAATCTGAATGGCCTTGGGCAGGGCGAGAAGCGCAGCGAGGCTGTGAAAGGTTCGTCTACCGCCTCGCGTACAAGACGTGTCTGTTCCTTGTTCAACGGCTCGGGGAGCTGGGTGAGCAAGTCGAGCAGCGAACGGGCGTCGTTGGCGACAGTGGGACTGCGGGCAACGGTCGACAGCGGTGAGGAAGGCAGCTTGAGTGCGAAGCGCGTCGATGGGGATGTCGTTGGGGGAATCGTGAGCGCCTTGCGTGAGTCCCTGGGCTTGAGCATGCTCGACGTCATCGAGGGGGAGGTGAGGGCCAGTGTGTTAGTACCACCAGGTTAACGTTACGGCTAGACAGGATGGCACACCTACGAGACACCGTGACCCATCCAACACGTGCGGTGGCAGGTGCGGCACGGTGATCGTCACCTGCCTCCCAGAGGGGTCTCAGTGCCAGGGTTGCAACCAAAGCCCTGTAAGGTGCATGGTTGCAACCATGCAACGGTTGAAACCGTAGTATGGTTGCAACCACACCACAGTATATATTACCACTACTACACATCCATAATGAATGCAAATAACAATGTGCAAGTTGTGATGATCGCTTGAACATTGACATCTCATAGTCAAAATGAATATCGAATACATGGGTCGAACTCGCGACCTGAACAATGACGCTAACCAGAACGCTTTACCACTACGCCACGAGACCTTGCTTCTATGCACGGGTCCTTTAACTATGACATCAACTCCGCTACTAATACACCATAACAACTCTGTAGTCTCATATGAGTTCAATTACTATGGCACCCTAATGCCTCTTCTTACTCCATGCTTCCTAATGCCATTGCAGTCTGCTTTCGAATTGTATTGAAGTGTGCTGTACACAGGTCGAAACCATGGTGTGGACCTACCGTTCGGTACGGTTCAAATGGGGCTGAGTATGGTTGAAACCACAGCACGGTTCAAACCGTCGTATGGTTGTAACCGCGGCAAGGTTGTAACCGTACCGTGGTTACAACCTTGCCGCGGTTACAACCATACAGTAGTTACAACCTTGCCACGGTTACAACCATACGACGGTTTGAACCTTGCCGCGGTTTCAACCGTGCCGCGGTTACGACCGTGCCCCGGTTTCAACTCAACCATGCCGCGGTTACAACCATACGACGGTTACAACCATGCCGCGGTTACAACCATACGACGGTTTGAACCGTGCTGTGGTTACAACCTTGCCGCGGTTTCAACCATACGACGGTTTCAACCGTCCTGCGGTTTCAACCGTGGCACGGTTACAACCATGGCACGGTTTGAAACCGTCGTATGGTTGAAACCGCGGCACGGTTACAACCACAGCACGGTTACAACCATGGCACGGTTACAACCATGGCACGGTTACAACCATGGCACGGTTACAACCATGGCACGGTTACAACATCTGAGCATGCGACATCATTAAGACACCAACGTCATTTGAGGCACGCCCGGGGTGGCTGTGCCCTGGGCGCGCCTCGGGGCCTGAGCTCGAGTCCGAGTTTCTCGGACTCCGGCGTTCTTTGCGCACGCCCAGCGCCCGGGCCGCTCCCCGCCCCGGTTTTCTCGCGCCTCCGCTACGCCTGCGCGCGCGGCGCTTGCTGGCTCGCGCGCGGCGCTCAAGTTCGCGTTCTTCCTCTGTCTCCTCACTTCCCTCGCTCGTTCTCTCTTTCGCTCTCTTCGCTCTTCGTTCTTCGCTCTTCGCTCTTCGCTCTTCGCTCTTCGCTCTCTCTCTCGCTCTCGTCACCATGCCTGCGATGCACCCCAACCACAGAGAAGTGAGCGTTCATTCTGGTGCAGATCGCGCGTGCTTACCTTTTCCGCAGGTCCTCGAGGATATGATCCACACACGCCACTCCAAGCTGACGCTTGGACGCATCGAGGAGGTGAGCATTCCGTTCATTATCTCTCACGCCGCGCTCACCTTCGCCTATCATCGTTCGATTCCGTGCGGGTAGGTGCCGTGTGCTCGCCGCGAACGACAACGTCGAATCTTTTCATGCGGTATGTCGTTCCGTTTCGCATTCGGTCTCGCGCGCACGGCTGACACGGCTTCATAGCCTCACGACGGCAGAGGGAACGTTAGTGCCCACCACTCTCACCTGTAAGTACATCGCCACCCTGCGCGCGCGACCGATGACGAGACACTTTACAGAATCGGGCGTTGGATAGTGAAAAGCTTCAATTTCGAAGCCAAGCGTTTCAAGCACTGGGAGTGGGACCTGATGTGCCGTCGTCAGTGGCAGGCGCCCGCTTGAAGGCCGAGTAGCCCGTAACGTACCGTACCGTAGCTTAACTCTTCGTAATGCTTTGAATCACACGTCCATCTTTTTTGCCTTGAAAGTCTGTAGTATTAGTTCATGTTCGGTCATGTACAGTACTTGGATGTCACCCATCAAATATATTTCGTCTCCCCAGCCATGTCCGTTCACACTGTCATGGCAGTGAGCCCCGAAGGCGCTTTCTCGCCCCCGCACGCGTCTCCAAGAGGCGCCGTGGTCAGCGATAACAATATAAGAATCAGTGCTCCTCTAAATGGTGTAATAGCGGGGCAAGAGGGAAGGCGCCACGCGACTTGAATGGTGAATGCAGCGCATGTCCAGCGCACTTGCACTCATGATCGCAGATATCTCTCATCGCGTTGTACCGGCGTGAAGAAACCTTCCTCGTCTGGACCGGCGTTGGACGTGCGCAAGAATGCGGTCACCGTAATATCATAGCGACCCAGGGTCTGTTGCCCACAGACGCCCGCAGAGCCGCGTCCGACTTTCTCGGACAGCCCGCCGGCCCGTCTGCTCCCGCTCGTTCTCGTCCTTCGCGTCTACCGTCTCGTCTCGCTCTCGCTCTCTCGCTCTCTTACTCTCTCGCTCTCGCTCTCTCGCTCTCGCTCTCTCGCTCTCGCTCTCTCGCTCTCGCTCTCTCGCTCTCGCTCTCTCGCTCTCGCTCTCTCGCTCTCTTACTCTCGCTCTCTTACTCTCGCTCTCGCTCTCTTCCGCTCTCTCCCTCTCTCCCTCTCTCCCTCTCTCCCTCTCTCCCTCTCTCGTTGTCGCCCACCCTCCCGCTCTTTCGCACTTCGCACATTTCCCTCGTCATTCAGCCTGACAATGAACAAGAATAACGCGCACGTACGCACCTTGTCAGCAACATCTTCATTCTGCTAATGATGAGTAGATCTTCAACGTGATCTACGGCGTCGTCGAGCCGGAAGATATCAAGTTCAAGGACTTCGAGAAGGCGATGAACAGCCTGGGCGCGCGCAAGAGCACCGGCGGAGGCTCTGTTCGATCATTTACGGCAGCCTGTTGGAAAGGCACCGTGCACGTACACCAGGTCAGTCTCACTATTTCGCGTGCTGTCCCTCGTCGCCGACCAAAATGCCAGCCACACCCGTATGACCACTACACGAAGAAGAACGCCGGGAGGCTCAAGGTGAGCGAAGGCTGTCTGCGACGCATAGACTCGATGCTCACCTTGTCCAGGTTCAGTTGGAGTCCAGTGGATTGACCCACCGGGTCATTCGCCGTGAGGCCCGCAAGGCCGGCATCTTCATCCCGAAGCTGCCGTCCCAGTAGAGTAGTTTCCTAGTCTCAGTTTGCTTCGTTTAAACCTCGCCGGGTTCGATAATCTCGGATTGCCGAAGTGCGGGTGCGGGCGCGGGCGGACCGGCCTGGCGACTGAGCGTTATGTGCCGTCGTCAGCGGCAGGCGCCCGCGTGAACGCCGAGTAGCCCGTACACGACCTTTGTTCGTAATGCTTTGTATGACACGTCCGTTGTGTTTGCCTTGAACATTTCTAGTATCAGTTGAAGTCTCGTACTTGAATGTCACACCCATGAAATATATTTCTCCCCAGCCCCGTCCGTTCCCGCTGTCACAGTGACGCGGCCCTCCCGCGTGTCGGTCGCGGGCAGGAGGAGGTGTTATGGGGGCCAGTGCGGGTGGCAGGCCGCCGCCGCCCCGGCCGGGTGAGCGCGCAGAGCACGTTGATCGGAGCGCGCTCGCAGGTGCCTCTAGGGCTCTCATCGTGTCGTACTGACGGGGGCTAACTTAGGTGCCCGTAGAGCCGCGTCCTATGACCACGTGTATTGCTTCATTCTCGTGTGATGGAGCGGGACCCCGAGGCCGGGAACGCAGATACTCAACAGGCCAGAAGATTTCACGGCAACCCAATATCCTCGACCCAGGGCAGGGGACGTCGCGAAGATGCATGACGTATGCCGCATACCGGGCGGGTGGGGCAGAGGTGAGGGCGGCAGTGGGGTCGCAATCGTACAGCAGACGTGCGAAAAAAGGGGATATACGAGTACTGCATCCTCAGTCCCACCTCTCCCAGGGATACACTGGTCCCGCCAACCTCTCCAAAAAGTTACTCGACGAAGGCCACGGAACACCCCGCTCTGACCCTGGCATCCTTCCGCGACACGTCCCCGATCTGAGTGCGGAGCGGGGTGGCCGTCTTCGAGCTCGTCCGCCCGCTGAGACAGATTGTCCGCAATGAGCATCAGAGAGGACACGAGGTCCAAGTTTCGCTCTTGAAGGCGGGCGGAGCGAGCTTCGGCGATGTTTTGAAGATCTTCCACGCGTCGTTCCAGAGCCTCCACGACCTTCACCAGAGCGGCGTTGGTGGCGAGGACCCTCCCCAGAATAGTACGGCATTCCTCCATCATGAAGGAATGCTGCTCCACGGATGAAACGGGCGCGCCTTGATTTTGCTATGGGCTAGATGTCAGTTGGATGGGGTTATATACTGGCCGGACACTCACGGGGGCATATTCCCCGGTCAACTGCGGCGGAGTAATTGTGCCGACCGTGGGGTAGAAAACGTCGCCTTCCTGGCGAGGGTATGGAGGGTCTTGCCACCCAAAGGCGGCGTTGAGCGAGGGGGCGCACTCGTGGGACATGGGGACTTGTGGGCGAAAGGGAAGAGGAAGAACTAGAGGGGACGTTCAACCAGACCTGTAGCCTGTAGGTCTCCAGCGTCGAAGGGCAGGGTGATGGTAGTCTGGACTCCGAATCAGACTCCAGAATCAGAAATGGCGCTCTGCCGCCCAATGGGCGCCCGGCGCCGCAGTCTCATGATAACGCGAGGTTTCAGGAACACAGCCCCCTTGGATAACAATTAATCTTTTCAAAGGACCACCCCGTTGGGAACGTGGGGCCGGCATGGATAGTAAGACGCCAAGGTCGAGAGCTAACCGCCGAACACGGATGTCTCAATGCGTTTTATATCTCAAGTCTCTCGACCGAGTTTCCCGAAGATGTTTATGAGGGTGCAGACACCCAGATAATAAACTGACCTGAAGTGCTAATAGCGTGTATAAAGAACATGTATCAATGCTACTCAAAGCGCACCTGCTCTACTACCGTACGCTACGGACGACGCGTGGAGTTCAAGCCGGCGCCTTCTAGTTATGACGGCCAGCGAGCTGCCGCCGCTTAAACCCAGTGAGGCCTTAGCGGTTCAAGTGGTTGACGATCCACAGACTGATCCCATCCGAAATATACACGTGCGCGCTTGGGAATCGAGGCTGTTGAGCGTGATGCCCGTCGGTCCCCGCGCTGTCGTGCGGGTGAGAATCCTCCCTGGGTAGCTCGAAGGCACCACGATGGTCGCGTTTGACGAGGCGGTGCGCGGTCGGGGGAGGAGTGGGGTCACTTAGGCCCCGGGACGCGATTTCTGGCCACTTCCGACAAACACTTCCCATCATCCCGCGTGATTCCAAGGGCGACGTCATCGACGCGTCCTTTATGCCTCGTGGATCCCAGGGGCCGTAGTTATGGGTAGTAATCATTTTGAACGTATGCTCTAGGGGCCGGCCGCCGATCGCACGCGCAGGATGATTCATACTGGTATCCGAGTAAATAATAGTAGGTCATTGTGGAGGGAGAACTCCAGAAACTTGCTCTTCTCCCCCCACCATCCCCCACCTTGCCTCCCTCAACGACAAGGACGTCACCATGGTTGGCCAGGATGAGGACGTGAGTACCTGTGTAACCCAGAGCATCGTTAAAGTGTTTGATCTCACACTCACCAGGACATCATGCTGGAGCTGCACATCGCTCTCGCGTTCGCGAGGCGTCACAACACCTTCCTCGTCGAACATCTCGTGACCCTTCAACACGAGAGAAATGCACTACGTCGAAGGGTTCGCCAGCTTGAGGCCCGCGGAGTCGTCCCCGCCGTCCCCGACGTCGCACCCGACGTCGTCCCCGTCCCCGCCGCACCCGCCGCCCCCGCCGTCGCAGCCGCCGTCGCAGCCGCCGTCGCCCGCCGTCGCACCCGCCGTCGCACCCGCCGTCCCCGCCGTGGCCCCCCGTCTTCCCCGTCCCCGTCCCCGCCGTCTCCGTCCCCGCCGTCCCGCCCCCCGTCCCGTCCCCGCCGTTCCCGCCACCCCCGTTGTCCCCGTCCCCCCGCACCCGCCGTGCACCCGCCGTTGCACCCGCCGTGCACCCGCCGTCCCCCGTGGCCCCGCCGTCTCCCCGTCCCGTCCCCGCCGTCGCTCCCGCCGTCCCCCTGTACACCTTGTGCGATTCGGGGCTCACTTCGTTAACGGTGGTACGCGGTGCGCGGGACTACTCCCTCGGCGGGCATCCCAAGACGGAATACATGCTCTGGTGGTCCTCCCCAACGGCTCCCGACACCCGTCAACACTTCTTAACCCAACATGCTCCATACCCTATCAACCGCTTTATGAGAACCTTGATGGGACCACAGGCAGAGGCCGAGGAGGACATTCGGTTCAGCACCATTCAAAACGACGCGAACGCCATGGGGATTGCAGTGTGGGGCAATCCGGCCCGCATGAACTTCGGCATGTGGGATATTACTTGCATTTCCACCCTCAACGCCGCCCATCATCTCCGTCTTACCGCCCTTTCGGGTGATATATGTGCGGCGAAGGTTTACTACACCATCTATTTCTTCCATGTCCACGGTTTGCTGCGGCGTCACGAAGCTGCTCGCTACATAGTTCGATACTACGCTGGAGACTCCCTTTACCTCCCCGACGACACCCAACTCAGAGTCCTCAAGGGTCTTGCACACAAGGGCAAAAGAATGGCGAGGGAACTTGGTCTCCTCGCAGGCTCCACTCCACAGCCCCTCCTCGACGTTTACCACGCCACCAAGTTCCCATTCCTCCATGGCTTGGACTGCGACGACGATGAGAGCATCGATTACTCCTTGTATATAGACTAGGGCGGCACGAGTAGGATGGGTGCAACATGTTCTGAGGTTAGGGCTCTGGGTGCAGGTTGGCGATTTGCGCATAGCACTGATGTACGATGACATACCTTTGATTTGATCTTTGCTTATCGCCTACTCTGCATGTTTGTCGCGGCTAAATCATACACCGCCATCTGCTACATACCTTCAGCCATGCTTCCAGATCAGAGGACGGCTTGGGATCACTCACCGCCTGCACCTCCTGAGACATGAAGACACCGCATAATTTGCCCAAATTAGTCAATAGCCCACTGTACCTCCTGAGACATGACGACATCGCTGATGCGCACAATTTACCCAGATTAGTCAACGGCTGACAACCAGCGTGCTTCAATATTACGCAACGACCGCTGCGTCACCTGAGGTGCACCACGAAAACAAGAAAAGCGCACGGATATTATATTCATGAATGGTGGCTCTTCTGCAACGACGCCCTATCTCGGCTCAGCGACTCCTGAGTGGAAAGGCGGGCGAGCTGCTCGTCACGCCGAGCCCCTTTGTACCCGCCCTCCATAGCTACGCGCCTCTTACCCTTGAAGGAGCCGACCATCTTAAATCCTGCTTGGACATACCTGACGATGCCGCCAGGGACGAACTGGGTGAAAGAGAATCGCCTTTTATCGTTGGTCACATCATTCTGTGAAAGCTGGGTGTTGCCGTGTCGCAGAGCTGCGGAACACAGCAACGCCGTACAGCCCGGAGGAAAACGGACGAAAAGCTGCAGTTGAGGAAAATACAACTGGCCGCCTTGATCCGGGTTGAAATCACCGATCGCGGTGATAACACAAGGGCATCCAGGGTAATTCATCGAGTCCAAGTGATCGAGGCATACCGTGTGAGGGCCTAGATTGGCGGTGCAGGCTGGATACAAGCTCGCGCCAGCGAAATTAGGCTTGAGAGAGGGTTTCTCAGTGTAAAATTGGCGCATGACGTCATGGAGGTGCCCGTATGCGAGCGGGAAGTTATGACAAAGTGCTTCTGCACCATTCCATTAGAAGCAGTGTTAAGAAACCACGGAGTTCACTCACGATCTTGCCACTTCGCCACGCGGTACACACTCGGCGAACATAAAACTTGCTTCTCTACGTCCTTCTCCCACCCACGAAAGCGCGAGCCAAGACGGCACGGTTTCTGTCACGCTTGTCAGCCTCATTCAGGCAATTGCAGTATATTTCACCCACCGTCGTGCCGTTCCCCATGGTGAGACCCATTGTGACAGCGCCAAACTGTCCCCGTCTCGGAGGGGGTATCGCGCATCCCATAGCCTTGATCTGCTCAGCATGCCCCTGCCGGAGATCTTCGAATAGAGCAGCGACCTTAGTAACCGCCTCCACAAACGTGTCCCCATCGTGGCGGTCAGGGGGCTCGACAGGAGGGGGAACCAGCGCTATCAGAATTCTCCCGTCCTTATCGAGAACATGGAGCTCCGACCTAGATCACGTTCAATATGATCAATATGATATGTGCCAGCTAACTATCCACTCACTTCCCGTCCCACTTGAGGTATGAATACTTCAGCTGCCTCAGATACTCCATCGTGGGCGGCCGAGTAGGTGGTACGACGTGGTTAGGATCCACACCCTGTGGATCAGATCTCTTCGACGTCGTGTCAGACTTATCCACCCTCTTTCGGTCAACGCCCTGATACGCAAACTCGTCCACCTTCATGTCGGCGGTCACAAAACCCTCGATAACCGTCTCCCCGCTGCCGAGATGACGTTCGAGAAAACTCGGGCCGCCTGGGACACGCGGTAAAAAATATCCGCCCTCGCCGTGGGATCGTCCAGCGCGCCATCGAGCGCGGCTTGCAACTTATGCTTGACGTTCGCTTGACGCTTGCGCGTGCGTGCTTTTGCGGCGGCGTTCGCTTTCGACGGGACGAAATCACCCATGTTGAAGGGACGAGTCATGACCTCTGCCCCTGCTACGGGCTCATTCAGATTGGTGTACGTCGCTTATCCGGCTCACTCACATGGAACGTCCTTTGACGGGATAGTGTCGCTCGTACTGAAGGGACGGGACTTTACTTCTGCCTCCGCTGCGGGTCCGGTCAGGAATGGAAGGATGCGTGACCAAGTCACTCACATGAAACGTTCGACGCCGAAAGGGCACCGGGCGCAACGCCACCATCGTCTGTAGGCGAGATCGTGGGGGTGAAATGCGCTGGGATATCTTCAGGAGGGATGCGATCAGATCAAAGCGGCTAGACATGTTGCCTATGACTCACCCACACCCCCGATATCCGGGGCTACCTTCATGCGCATCTTGCGATTTAGTGCGCTCACCAGTTCGTCCTCTGCCGTTCTGTCGTCGTCGGCGTCATGGAGTATTTCCTCGCTCTCTATTGCATCGTAAAGTCCGTCCTCAAGCCTATACACGCTCGCCATACAGGCGACCCCGGAATCCACTGCATAAGCACCGTACTTTGGCCCGTTTCTGGGCGTTGGTCCCTGCAGAGAAGGCTATCAGCGTATGCGCCACCATCGTCAAACTTCGCGGGGCCCACTGCCGCCGCTGATGGAGCGATCTGGCCCGCGGCCGGGCAGGACGCTCGGAGCGGGACTCCGGGCGGGCGCACCTCACCGTGCGAGCCACCGAGGTCCAAGGCAGAACGCTCTGGGCTACACTCGCACGGGCGCGCTATCAGCAGCACGGGCTGGCCGCCGGGGTCCAGGGCAGAACACTCGGGGCGAGGCTCCTGCCCTAGCCAAGGTCCACGGCAGGACGCTACGGCAGGCGCTCAGGGCGGGGACGGTGACGGGGGGAACGTTTGGCAGGAAACGTGGGGCGCTTGGGGTTGAGAGATGTTGGACTGACCATAACCGTGCCAAAGACGCTCAGGATGGGCGGAGAATGTCTGAGGGGCGGGGGTGGAGAGGCGGTCAGGCTTCGGCGAGGACAATGCGCAAAGTCCCGGGACGCATGGGTATTAGTAGTTACGTCGTACGCCGCTATGACATGGACGTGCATCGCTGGAGATTCATTAGATGGCATTCCCTTCCTGGCGTCGTTCCCCTTTTACCCCCTCAGAGACGTCTCGATCGTTTCGGGCGTGCCAGAGGCATCCCCATTCCCTGTGGAGACGTTGAGTATCCGCAACATACACAATGTATCCCTTACCTTGGCGATGGATCGCGGGAACAAGCCCTCTGCGGCGGCACGCAATCTCTCGTATTGCAGACTTCGTCTGTTCCATAACAGGTCAGCGTCATTCCAGGGGTGGCGTGTTTACTCACCCCCTGTAGTACACCGCCTCGCCGCTGTTGACGTCCAAATGCAGCTGGTTTGCCATCTCTCCCCAGCGTGTTTTTTCGTACGTCCACATTCCCAGGATTCGGTACATCTCCTCAGAGCAGAGATACACCTCCTCCTCCCATCGCGCCGTAGCCGCCTTCGTGCGGAACCACAATACCTTCAGTTCTAGGACTCATCAGTAACGCCCTGTGTGAGAACCCACACCACTCACTAGCCAGTGCGAATCGCTTCTGGTCCTTGTCGGATATATTCTCCACCCACTTTGCGGAGGACCAGATCCAGTGTGGCACTCGTTGGGTGTCGCCTGCATTCCTCTGGCTGTGGAGCACGGTGAAGTGCTTGAGGTCGGAGTCTCGCAAGCGCGGTGGGATGTCTTTGGCAGACAGGCGAAGTAGAATTGTACGTAGGCGGTGGTACTCCGCTCTTGCTGAGATGGTCGCCTCATGGAGTTTGATCGGCTCGGAGCGAGGCTTGCGTTTGGCGTGACGAGAAGGGGGAGGGGCTTTGGCACCAGCTTCCGTCTTCTCCCGGAGATCGGATACGGAGGTCGTAAGGACAATGGAGCGTCGCACGTTGTCCAGGGCATCTTGCACCATCTGTTCTCGGAGCTGAGTCTCCAGGCGTACGAAAGGAGAGAGTGCCTTTCGTTCCCGAACGTCCTTGTGGAGCATAGAGGGGAGCAAGACGTCGATCAGTCTCACCTCTTCGGCCCATTCTCGCAAGGTCCCATCCAGGATGAGGTTGTTCGCGCGTTGGTCTTCCATTTGATCCTTCTCCGTGGTGTGAGGTATGTCTTCAAAGGAGTCGTATCTTGGGAAGTCTCGGGGCATGTTTCATGCCGAGGATTGGTAGACGCCGATGGCGGAGGCGATATGTCGCCCTATGTGACGGTCGTAAGTCTCTTTGCAGCTTAGGACCTCCTCACGGAACGCCTTCATTCGTTGGGTGACGAGCCGTCGTTGACGGTCCTTCTCCGCGCCCTTGATCCTATCGACACGTCTAAGTTCCACCTGAATTTCGTGCCTGGGGAGAATGAGTGCAGTGCCCGTGTTGCGATCGACGAAAACGTACCCATCTTCCCACAGGTTGACCGCTTGCACCATAGCTGCGACGTTTCCGATGGTTCGGGTGTGGTCCGTGTGGCCATGAGCACTCAGCGGAGGCAGCTGTGGCTCGGAGAAAGACATATCTAGTACAATGGATCCCACGTCAGTCTGTCTCCGTACACCCTTAGTTAGCCTGGAAACTAACCTTCATCGACATGGAGCACAAATGGATTGAGGCAGGCAAGATCGTCGTCTTCCGTTGGGTCGGCGATCGTATCTAGCCATGCTTCCATCTCCGTTTCCCAAGTGCCCAAGAGATCGTCGGGTATAGTGGACTCTAGACTTCGCATGAAGTTCTGGTGCTTCTTCCGACGATCGAGTGCCTTGTCGTGACGCTTTTTAATGTCGCTGTCTGTTGAAAGAAGCGTCTCAGGGTCTAGCGTAACGTATTAACCCTCCTTATGAGAACTCACTGATGTTGTACATCTTCGTCTGATTGCGATTGTCGACAGCGAACGTGAGGGTGTCTTCTCGATTGCCTGGACCCATCTCTTGCGTGCGCTCTGATGTCGGGTCGAGCTCCGCCCAGCACTGCTCGGTCTCCTCCCCTCCCACTCGGGCGGTACCTCGATGGGTCATGGAGTTGTACACGGTTTGGCATTCCTCCTTGTGCGCCTTGATGTGAAAGTCTCCGATGGAAACCTCGAGTGCGGGATAGTATTTCTCATCCTCATCGTCACCGGTGTCCGGGGGGTCGCTGTCGCTGTCGCTGTCGTCGTGTCTGTCGCTGTCGTCGCTGTCGTCGCTGTCGTCGTCGTCGTCGTCGTCGTCGTCGTCGTCGTCGTCGTCGTCGTCCTCGTCCTCGTGGTCGCCGCCGTCGCCGTCGGCATCGCTGTCGGCGTTGGAGTGCTGGGAGTCGGCGTCGGCGTCGGCGTCGGCTTCACTCTGGTGGTCCCCGGGTCTGGACAGGAAGTCCTTCATGCGCTTCTTCAGATTCACTGCAAGCATACATCCCACGTCGTACCAGATCTTGAACCTTTTGAGCGTGCGGAAAGGCTGGGATGCATTCCATAATGAGAAGTGGATGAAGGCAAAACTGAGTGTGTGTCAGATGCGTCGAGTCCATCTACGACTATACGCCTACCGTTCGCCTTTGTTCAAGTTAATCATGCTGCCGCCAGCAACGAATCCATGTCTGCACACGCCTGCGATCAGGCCCGTCACGGAGCCGACGTGTCCAGTGTGCCCGCTGGCCTTGAAGTTGTTGCAGTCGCTGGGCTGTTGGGGTGTTATGTCAGGACATCGTGCACATATGGGCCTTCAGAGCCCGACCGAGCTTACCTCCTTGTCCTTGTCTCCAACCATCTCCAGGTGTTTGGCGACGTCTTCAGAGTTGGCGAAGTAGGAGCTGAGGGCGGCGTACGCAAGGTCTAGGGGGTCACTCGTCTTTGGTCGTAAGAATTGCCTGAAGTTTCCGTCGAACTCGATGAACCACTCGTCCAGAAAGCTGAAAATCGGTCAGGCATGGCCTCTGTTGTGACAGGTTATATATTACCTAAACAGAGCATCTCTCCATTCCCAGTCTGGGCGCATGTTCTTGCCCGGGTGTGGGCAGGCCGGGCAGAGGGTCACCAAGGCGTTGTGTTTGAAGGGACACCCAGGACGGTGGGCGTGACGCAGACAGAGCATCAGGTAGGCATACTCGCGGGTCGCTTGTAGAATCTCCCGTTCTCGATTCTGCGCGGAAATGTTAACGTGCGATCGATGTTCAGAATGCGTCTTCGTACCTGCACCGACCCAGGTATGAATCGATCCGTCATGCGTCTGAGTATGAGATACAGGTCGTGGACGCTACTTTGCGCTTGTAGCAGATGGGCTTCGAAGACCTCCATCACCGTCAGCGTGAACGCGGTTCGGGGCCAATCGCCCCAGGTGCCAGGGTATAACCCATGGCGCAGCAGCTGCATGGAGTGGGGCTCGGCGGAACACAGACAAAACCGCACCATCGCGTTGAGGATGATACCGTGCTCGTGGACTAGCGTCATCCGAGTGTTGTGAGC